AAACTATTTTCAGCTTTGATTTTTCTTATTACTCCTAAAAAGTAGAGACGTGGCATAGTACAGATTTGGACAAGAATGAATACACTACATAAGTTGGAAAAGGGTACAAGAAAGAGTATCCAAATCAAGCTGACCTACTGCCTGGGAAACCCTCATGTACATTATATCCTGGGGAGCATTAGAGGGAAGTGTGAGATGTCCTCATGACAAACTAGCATGCAACAAAGAGCTCTTTGGTAAGCATTAAAGGCCCCACAGCTGTACAGGGTGCTCCTCCTGAGCCACGTTTCTCCCACACACAGCCTGCAAAGTGGGCTAACAGTCTTTTCTTACAGATAAACTGGGACAAAGTGAAAGGTCTCTCCATCCGGGTGATCATCAGACCTGTGAATAAAACTCAACGGTTAAGAATGTCTCTAGGTCTAACAAGCTGATCGCACAACTTTTCCTGAAGGACCTGAAAGGCTGAGAGTTGGTCAGAATTTATCACCAGTGTTCAGGTTGGGAAGGTATTTTTTCAGTGCAGTGTCATGGCAGGGCACCCAAACCTTAGCCAGCTCTGGTTTCAGCACAGTAGTGCTTTTAAGAGTACTTCCAAGACTTCTATTTGGTCAAAATAAGCTTTACTATTTCCCTCAAAGCTAGACACAACCACTCTTGCAGTCAGGCTCTCTTTAGACCTGGCACCAATTCCATATCTATTTTAGGGGATGTTTTTTAGGGTTCCCCCAGCCTGGTCCCTGGGACTGGGCACCCTTTGCACCTCCCAGTTCAGCTGCCGCTGAAATAACCCCAGTCTGTGCCTGCCCTGAGCCAAAGCAGGATGGTCAGGAGTTTGCCTTCAGAGGCACATTTCTGATCTGTGCTTCAGGCTCCTGGATCCTATGACAATTTCACAGTACAAAGATCATGATTCAGGCTATCAAACTGTTCATGCCTCCCTCTGCTAGTTATTCCCTCAGAGCTGAAGGTGCTTGCTAACCAGAGGCCTCCAGCTGATACGATGACAGCTTGTTCTTTTGGTCTCCAAAGCCTGATTCTCACTGAAGACGCTGATGTCTGTCTGCAAGTGGTGTCACTGGTATGGATGGAGCAGAAAAAAGTGTTTGTGTAGGTTTCCCAAGAAAACACAGAGGGGAAATGGAGAAAGTATCATCATGAAGCAATTGAAATTGGTAGCAGTGTTTTCCATTAACTTTACCAATGGCAGAACTGCATCCATGCATACAAGATAAAAAGCCAAAACTAATCCACATTTTTGAAGGAACCTGGACAAGAACATCAGCAGTATAAATCAAAAATTACCGAATGTAGCTCCAAAAACAGCAAAAAGAAAGCAGGGAGAAAAACCTGAAACTTCACAGGAACAAATACACAATTTGGTTCAGAACTGAACAAGAGTAACAACAACAACAAGGTACTAATGTTGTAAACAGTAGAGATAAGTAAATTAGGCATTTACTTAATCTTGATGCTCCTTTGGTCAAGAAGCCTGTTGTATGCAGCCTAGGAGAAGTTAGGTCACCTCTGGAGGTGTCGCTGCCTATGGCAGGGGGTTGGATTGGATGATCTAGAAGGTCCCTTCCAACCCAAACCATTCTATGGTTCTGTGATTCTATGATCCAACGATTCTATGATAAATACCTTCAGCTCCCACCAGGCAATGGCATCTCAATTTATTAAACCCTTGAGAGTTGGAGCCAGTGTCCTTACAAACACAGGATGGGGATGCCTGCTGAATCAGATCTGCATTTCAGGGTGCACATCCTCCTCAGGTGGCTGCTGCTGGTGGCATGGTAAAACTAATGCCATGCTTATAAGATTGAGGAGTGATGACACTGAAATTCCCGGGTTTCATTATCTGTAACACAACTGAGTAGTTGTGATGTTTCAATACAACCACACAATATGTGCACATAAATTAAGAGTATGTGCATGGATTTGTGCTCACTAATAGAAACAAAGTCCCTGATCCAGTCAGGTTGCCATTGTGCTTAGGCCTGCCTTTAAAATTTTTGAAGTATAGAACAAACCTCTCAAACCAAAAATACTCATGGACCTTATCCAAAGCCTTGGGACTCAGCATCACCACTGATTTCTACTGATATCAACAGATTAAAAAAAAATATATATATATATAGGAGAAAATTCAACAGATATTAGTCCGGTCACACAACATGCAAACAATCAAAAGGGCTGAAGGAACACCTTCTGATGCAGAAGTAAACCCAGCATCTTTTTGGGGGTCTGGCAAAGTCCCCCATGATGGTGCCCTGCACAGGGGAGTTCAGTGTCCACGTTGAGAGCTTCCAACCCATTGATGGATTGCAGACCCTTGCCTCCTGCAGTGGAAACCCAGGCAGTTTGAAACCTTTGTTTAAATATATGCTGTATTGTTTCAGGTGGCCACAGTTTTATTTTACTTCTCCAGTAAATATCTTCCAGCTCCTAAACGAGAACTTAGGGAAAACTGCTCCCACAATGCAACTTAAAAACCACCCTGCAGAAACCTTACATTGCTCAGCTTAAATCCAGCCTTCAGTACGTCTTGAGTTATGAGGTTGTCCAGATCACTAATAGAGGAGCAGGGGAATTTACACCAAAAGGCATAAACAAGTCAACAATAAAAATAACCATTTATCTCTTCTTCCTCCCCAGTGCCTTATTCCAAAGGTCACTGTGTTCTCTCGTTGAAGCAAAGCTCTATAACGTGAGTTTAGACACTTCAGGCTAAATCCCAGGGTTTTTGCTAACTTTGCTCCAAGTAATTCTGGTGGATTTTTAGTTTGCAGTCTTTCCTTGGGTAAGGTCTGAGAAATAGGCAGGTGCTCTGGAGAGGAGCTGTTGGCCAGAGAAAGGCCCTGTTTGGTGGGGCACATGCTGGGGGGGCTCCCACCCAACCCTGGGTGACACCACAGCGTTAGGAAAGAAACAAGCTCCCAGCCCCATCTTCTTCCTATTTTGCAGTTGAGGTTTGCTTACAATAACCTCAGCTAAGCAGATTGAAAATGAACCTTATTGGAGAGTGGGTATAGCTGTTTAGGAAGAGCAGGACAAACATCATCATCAAGAGCTTCCCCCGCAGAGCTTCCCATAGAAACCCAAATGTAAATTGTAAAGATACCACCACGTGGGGCAGCTGTTGCCTTTCCTCTCATTTCGGTGGGCTCAGGCCACAGATCTTTCCCTAAGATTATTTTGCGTAAATGGAGAAGCATCACAGAGCATTTGGGTTGGCCCAGAAGCTGTCTGGGATGCACTGGTCGCCTGGAAATCTCCCTGCTGCCCGTGGCTCAGGCACCTGGCTGCAGGGATGCTGCTCAGGCTTCCTGCTGGCTTCCCAGGTCCTGCAGCTCGACAAATAATATCCAGCACTTCAGCCTTCCTGCACTCACACTTCCAAGCTGTACGGCGTGTTTTCTCAATGTCCACCATTGTTTAAAGCCCCTCTGGGCTCCTGCTGAGGACATTATTTCTCTCCAAGTTTCCCGGTGCAGCAGGGGATCCTTCCTGGTTTTAAAGAGGCTCCCATTGATCATGAATAATCTGTGGTGTTCCCAGCAAAGGCCTCGTCCAGCTTCCTCATAACACGCAGAAGGGCTCCCATTTGAAAAATCCAGCTGGCAGCCCGAGTGAGCTCTGGGCATGCTGAAACGCTGTAAGCCAGAAAGAGAGCTGGCAGGTCACCCAAATAAAACCACCGTGCAAACTGCAATTTCAATACGCTGATTGGAAAATAATGTCTTTCTGAAAGTTGACTAAACATTTGCTTGTCCTTTCTTCCTAAACAACCCTACCTCAGCTGTCATAACTCAGGCCAACCCATCCCTTCTACATTAATACTACTTAGTGCATACAAAGATGTCCAGCTTGATTTAAAGACAACCAAGTGATGGAGAACAATTTTGGACTTTTCCCGGGACATGAGCCGACGGTAAGGGCAGAAGGCATGCATGAAGGACAGGCTAAGCTGTTCTCTGCAGAGATGTGCTTCTGTGGCCATGGCATAGCCATGTATTTATTGGCCATATCTATACCCCATCTAACACCTCCCCTTTTGTTATAAGTACAGATGAAGGGAAAAGATACTGTAACTTAACTCCCTAAGAGCACAATTTACTTAAATAATACACAAAACAGTTTATTGGAACGATTCATACAAAGAAAGGACCATACAAATCCCGGCACTCCAATTCCAACTGAGCAAAATGCTCACGGGTCACGCATCCACATACACGCAAGCGTATGTGTATCCACATCACGTATACACCACACACTGATTAATGAACTAAAAAATGAAATGTGAAATGGACAAATAGAAAGCCGGAGACTCACTGACACAGAATGCTGAACGATAGCTGTATTTATCAATAGCTGTAAAAAATTAGCCTTATCCTAGGGCAGGCTTTCGGCTGCAAAAAATCTTAGTAACATCATCTCTCTCTCTGCCCCACTCGATTACATTGATCATTATCTTAACATGCTCTGAAGGATGGGGATAGATCATAGGGCAAGAGTTTGAGGATTTTACTCTTACTTTTGCTGCTGATTGATTGTGTTAACAACCAAGGCCAGTCAGATTTCTGCCATGTTTCACAGTTTCCCTTTTGTAAGTGGGGATAATATTTCTCACAAGTTTTTGTACAGCAGTTTGAGATCTTGGGGAGAAAGCAGCTATTTAAAGGCTCCAAGTTATTATTTTAGGCCCTGATTCAGGAAAACATATAAGGATATGTTTAAATCCTGCTGCTTTAATGGGTTGAAAGCACCTACTTTAGGCTAAGCTCATAGTGATGTGGTCTTTCTGAAGAAGTTGCCCTAAACCTTCCAGTTATCCCTATGAAAAGCAGAGCCCATTGAAGCTTACTTAAAAGACAGAGTTTATGTCTAAAAGGGGAAAAACCAGCAAACTAACGACAGGTCAAGATACAGAAGCATTCCCCTCCGTGTTTTATTCAGATGAAAGAGGTGTGCAGCTGTGCCCATGCTGCTCTGATTAGATGCGTGCAGTAGGCATCAGGTCCCCTCCGAAGCTCCCTGGGCTGCTCGGAGCAGCTCAGTGCTGTCGTTGGAGAAATCAAACCCTTTTCCCGGAGCCAGAGCTCTTCCCCCCAGCTCCCCCCCTCCCATATCTGTATATATTTCATGAGGAGAACGGGGCTGAGTTTCTTCATGAGCTGCAGTTCCTGGGCGGACCCCACGCACAGCTGGGTTTGCTGCGCCTGGGTCCGCCTTCCCAGCCAGCCCAGCCAGCAGCCTCGCAAATTCGGGGCTGCCGAGTTGACAGCAGCGAGGCAGGAGAGCACGGGAAGATGAACGGGTCAACACCGTGAAGCCGGGCTCCTGGTCGCTGGCGGGATCCAGAAAATGGGTTGCTGGAGGAGACCGGGTCTGCTTTCCTTGCTGCTGCTGTCCTTCTGTGAGTAGAGAAATGTTTCTGCTTAGGCGTCGTTAACCAGCGTACGCAAAGAAGTCGTTTATTTTTCCTTCCCCCAGAAAAATAGCAAACCTTTGATTTGTCCCCTGACGCCAGTTAGCTGGAGGGTTGGAAATAAAGGGGAATTTCGTAGCGAGCTGGTCATAGCCCTGCTCCGACGGCATCAGCTGCGGGTTTGTCGTACAGCGAAGGGCGAGCGCTTGGCTTGGTGGAGATCGCTGCGTGCTCGCCGAGAGCAGCTCCCAGATGTCAGTGTTTACAGCGCAGGAGTATATGCGTAGGTCAGCACGACTTGGTGGAAGTTTTTACTTTCTCAAGGGAGATTAAAGGCGATTAACGTGCACCGTTGAATGATCTGGCTTCAACGGTGTCCAGATGCAGTGGAGTTTGCAGCTTTATCAGCCCCAGTTTATGTGCAAAGTTAATCGAACTGTTAAAGTCAGAAAGAAGCAGGGAGAGGGGGAGGAGAACTGTCTCTGCAACAACATCTGGCTATTCGGCAAACCTTTCCAGCACTTACGTAAAGACTTCTTTGTAATAAGTGCCCTGTTTAGGTTTTGATAGCACTTCTTCAGGACTGTAGATAAAACCCTCCAGCAGCACTTGAAAATGTGCCCATCCATGGCTTAAATTCTCTTGTTTATATCTCGATGATTGTTTCATAACAGGGAATAGATTTGTATATAAGTGAGTGTTATATACACATCTCCTAAGTATGTGTGTGTGTCTTTCTGTATATACAATGCCGATGTATGTGTATACACACATATATCCCTATATAGTATGTATTTATGTATTTGCACGGACAATGGCACTTTTTGCAGTGAGCTCTTTTACGAACACAGACCCGTTCTCCTCACTACAGAACTTTTGATGCAAATAAAATAGCTTTTTGGTCAAAGCAATGAAGTGCTAGGATTATAGTGCCCGTATATTTGCATGCAATTGAAATAACTGGGGGCAGGGATCTGTATCTGCATCCACTTTCCACGGGTCCCCCTATCTACTGAAATAGGGAATCAAGGAATAGGGTCAGTCAGTAATTTGCATGTATTAAATACGATCCTTGGTGAGCCTGCAGAAGCAGGGAGACCCAGATGGGGGGATTTACAACATAAGCTGAGGCTGACTTTCCAAAGAGTTGCAGAAATATGTAGTAGTCATTACTGTAGATAATACCCTAAAGTATGGGTTGAAATGTAGGATGCTGTACTGATAACATCCTGCTAAATTAATCACATTTGGAACAGCACTGAAGGAATTACTACAACGCATTATTTAAAGCACAGTCTTGGGTTGTTTTTGGTAAGAAAGAAGACCACTAATTATCCTTCAGAAATACCTAATTTTGGAGTTATTTAACTTATGGTTTCCTTTTTCTGAAAGGCAGGGTTTTAATCTGAAAGAAGCCAAACCAAAACATATCATGATTACTAAGTTCATCTGAAAGGTTACGTGAATGATACGATGACAACATTTGTCTCAGTATGGGGAAAAAAAATAAGCCAAGGCGCACTCTCTCGCTCTCTGATTCAGCTCAACCGTGATAAATGTTTACTGGGGTTACCTCCCATCCATCACATATAGTGTTAGTATCAACCCTACAGTGACTCTGAGACAATAGAAGTGCCTGGGGGGCCCACTTTGCATTGGCATTAAGAGAAGAGGAAACAGCAAGTTTCCCAAAATGGCAGAAAATGCACATTTGGTTGTTCTTCACGCAACAAATCCCACCAGTCATTCAGCCTCTCCGCAAAGACTGGCAGCGGTGGGTTGGTGGCAGCGGTGGGTTGGTGACAGCAGCAAAGTCACTCGTCCTAGCACAGATTTAGGAATTACTGCAGAGAAAATGGCTGTGATGGTGTCCTAGCTACCCCAGAATTGCTCCCTCAGCACCAGCTGGGTGTCCTCAGGGACCTTGTTGTTCTCTCTAAGGGGTCACACCAGGATGGCTGAGACAAGGTGGGCTCTGTGCTGCCTGTCTCTATCCTTTCAATCACCAGCAGGGTTGAGCGGTCATCAAGCAGCGTCTCCAACCGCTTTGGTCCATACGTGGTGGAAAAAAGGGCTATAGCCTGACCACTGAAATTTCAGCTGCTGGATTTCCCTGACTCCCCCAGTCACCTCCAGCAAGTGGCTCTGGATTTACCTAGCAGAGGGACCTGCAACAAAATAATACAAAGATCGTTCAGGATGGGAAAACCTGTCCTACAGTAGGGACTGAAAGCTTTCAGTGCCTTTAGTTGTTGCAGGAGGGAGCTCAGAGGTGAGGTAGTCATCGCTCACAAAAAATTCCCAGAGAGATGCTTTCTGGCAGAGGGTTTCCTCTTCTATCGGACAAAGGAAAAGCGAGATTTACATGCTGGAAGCTGAAACCGGGTGCTTTTGTGTTAGATCACAAAACAGCAAAGTTGTTCCAGCAGGTAATTACTCAGACTCAGGATGTGGTGGGGTTTTGTTGCTCAAAGCCTTCAGTGACTGCAAGACTATCTGCTAGATGGACTACGACCCATCCAGAAGTCACAGACTGGATACGGAGATTACTGTACTGAGCACACAGAAACACTCTGGCCTCATAATTAGGAGTTTTCCTGTCCTGTTTTGCATCAGAATCTGGAAAGCCTCCCTCGTCACCACTGTGACGACAGCTCAGGGAACCCAGCAGCTCGCCTTTGGGCATCCAGCCTCCAAAGGAGGACATGAAACTCAAAGCCTGCCAAGGCACGTAGCACTCGCCAAAGGAGAGCTGTGCCCCGTGGGATATGCTAGAGCTCCGAGGAGAACATCTGCCCAGGAATTTCAGCAAGTACGTTCGCTCAGGACCTGCGGTCGTACCTCAGATCTGTGGTGAGGAGCACAGTGATGGCTGCTGGATGGACACCTCTGCACTGCGATGGCTCTGCAGATGTGGAGATGGTACTTCTTGGTGGATGGTGGCTCTCTGAAGCCACGCACTCATTCCTGCTTGAATAAACAACCCATGTTCTCCCTCTGAGTCCCTTTGGTTAAAGACATGGAGCATATATAATTCATAAATCATGACAGGGAGCCCCAGGGCTGTCAGAAAAACATCTCTGCCTTTTGATCTGCCCGAGAATTCTCTGACCTATCCCATGCTCCTCAAGCAGCTTGTTGAAGAAGTTAGTCTCTTATTTCTAAGATCACCAGTGCTAAAACTAGGGGCTGCACTGCCACCAAAAGACCAGCCTGGTCCTCAGGCAGGAGACCTACCAGGATTACACCCCAACAGCAACACACAATAACTCAGAGGCAGAAACCTGGGTGAGAAGATAAGGGAAAGGAGAAGAAGTCACCTGCTGCCTCACAAGCAGATTCATCCATATGCAGAGAGGGTCTTTGTGGCCCAAGGCTCTTCTCCCAGGCCATGCAGTGTGTGAACATGGGCGCTGCCCACCTCAGTGGCAGGTCTGGCTACACCAGTCCTTCTCAAGAAGCACCGTGTTCTGCTTTGACTTGGTAGCAATATATTTTCCAGTAAATAAAGGGGAAAGCACAAGGAAAACCCTGACAATCCCAAACCAAAGTCCTCTGCAATGTTTTAACTGGCATGAGACTCAGCAAGAGCGTGATTCATCTACCTTAACACTTCTCCAAGCCTGATGCTGCTTTTTCGGTTGCTGGTACAAGTTGGATGGAGACTCAAGGCTAAGAAAGTTGGCAGTGTACAGCTGTGTCAAACTTAGGAAAGTGGGCATCTCCTTTCTCCTTGCTTCTTAAACTTTTCTCAGACTTGAGGCAGGCTGGTCGTCATTAGAGCTGCTCAAATCTACATTTTAGTGTGTATTATTTTTTTTTTTGCTTGTCTGTTTATTTGTTTTCAGGGGAAAGTCCTTTCTGAGATATAATCCCATGACACTTGGAATTAAAACACACTCTTTAAAAAAAAAGCAAAACTGATTTTTGCTTTTGGTGCTGTTATCAATATTGGATGATGAGCACAAAGACATTTTTGTATAATGGTGGTAAAAAAAAGTTCAGCCAGCTGCAGTCGTGATATTTGCTGTCCTATTAGAGGCGGAGTCCTGAACAGATGTGTCCCACGTATTCACTGAACAGGCAGAAAGCAATCATTGGCATTAAAAACAGATGACTGGGGGCTTTCACTCTGAGGAAGTATTCAACTCTAGTTGCCTGTCCTCTATAGCTTTATATTGTTCCACTTTTTGCTCCATCGAGTTTATTTCCTTGGGACATGTTTTCCTCTCCCCTTAGTGATAACTCTTTGCAATAACATTTGCTTTCCGCCAGCTTCCTCAGTGCTGCAACTTGCCACAAACTAATGAACTCTCCCGTGGATTGCCATGTTTTTAGGGAAGTGCCACATCTGATCTCACTATGAAAAAAAACAAAAGAACCACCAAGAGCCCCACCAAAGCGATGAAACCAGCAGCTCCCCCACACTTTGCTCTTTCCACATCTCGCACTTAATGCTCTATGCCAAGTGGAAGCCTCAGGTGGGAAGAGGCTCTGTTGGCACACAAGGTAACACCATGGCCAGCTGCCTACCTTATCAGCCCTGGAGGGTGGAGCGACATCTCCTCAATGCTGGCCCCCAGCTGTGGGATAGCATTTCCTTAGGGACCTTCAGGGGAAACGAAGGGGTGGCTGCAAGCTGCCTCGTCCCACATGCACATCCCTGGATTCGGAGAAGACCACTGCAATCCTGCTTCCAGAAGGGCTCTGTAAGGTCCATCAGAGTCGTATTTCTTGTTCTCCAGTTGGTTCGTCTTCTTATTACAGCCCATGTAGGGCTGGAATTCTCCTGCCAGCTGCTGGTAGTTGTCAAGCTTTTAGGAGAAGTGGGAGAGCCTGCTTATCTTGTAATCCCCTCTGCAGCCCGTGCTCCCACCAATTGTGCCGCTCCAGGACATGGCCTTTCATGGAGCTGCTACGCCGCAATGTTTTGCTTCCCATTGATAAGCCAGGAACATGCCTGACAAGCGACAGCTGATTTATACCACAGCAAATGCATCTCATCTGTGGGGCAATTAATTCATCCAGCTGTGCCCTGCAACCTTCCGTCTGCACTGAACACAGGGCTACTGCCCACACGGGCTCAAGAAGCTCTGAGAATATATCTTAACCCAAGTCTTACCCTTCATTAGATGGGATTATTTACAGCTGGATTCAAGATTTAAAAGGAAAAAGAAAAAAGAAAAAACACACCAACCTTTTTGACATTTCCGGTGTGCAATTTGCAGCTATCAGCAGAAAGGAGCTGCAGAGGAGAGCTGTGGGGGTCACTCTGCAGAACCCCAGCTTGGCCCACACCTTGGCCAGGACCCCCAAAGTGGTTGGAGCAGCGTCATGCTGGACATGCTGGCCCTGCTGCTGTGCCTTTCACCTTGCCACAGTGGGGATGGAGGTGTTCCCTTTAACTCCATGGTTCCAAAACTCCTTTTGGGAACAAGAATCTTTTCTTACACCTCTTCTTCTGGGAAGCCCAGAGGTATTTGCTGAAGTTCCTGGCCTGCTGGTTATTACAGTCCTGTGGGGCTTTTTCCTACAAGTAAAAATGCAAACACTGAGCATTGGTCCCTTCAACTTCAGCCATCCCAAACCAGACAGCTATCCTGTGCCCGTGCAGAGCCAACCCCCGTGTCCCCTTTGACAAGGGTCTGATGCAATGGGCCGCTGCTTGGAGCAGCTGTGACATGACGTGGGACATCTGCCTGATGTCACTGGATAACTCTCGCTGCCTGGGAGCATCTGAACACCAGCATCCAAAGTAGAAGAGGCTTAATCAGCTGCTGCCTTGCTGCATAAACTATTTTTTTCCATGCTAGATCTATCCCAAAATTAGCCCCAGCCAGTCCACGATAGCAGACAAGACCCCTCGCCCTACAGTGGGAAGTGACACAGAGCCCTAAGCAACGAGCAGCCGAATGAATCATTCTGTTCCACATAGACCCAGGGTACGGGCATCCACAGAAATCAGACCAATGGATCCCTCGGGAGCCCAGTTCCTGTCGTGTCTTTAATATGTCAAAAGGCACTTGGTGGTGCTGGTAGAAAATGGTGGCAGACATTCCCACCAGAGGCACAGAGAATTTTGGGGGGGCTGGGCTCACCCCACAGCACACAGTCACCCTGGTTTGATACATTTTCTGACTGCTCTTGGCTCTCTCCTGAGGCACTGCACATATGCATGAGCTCCCACTGCTTTCACGTGCAGGAAAAATGCACCTCAGGCCTCATCAACAGCTCTCCTGCAAAGCCCTGGTCCCACTCCTGCAAAAATCCTCAATAGTCTGCGTTCAGCCCAAACCGCATCCCCTGCCCTCTGACCAGGTTGTGAGTGGTCTCTTCTATTTCGGAAAAATATTCAGGTTAAAATCAACCTTATTGGACAGTGTTTTTCAAGAGATTATAATACTGTTGTCATAAAAGAGATTTTTTTTAAGTCTTCAGAAAAGAGATGAAAGAGGAGACCAGACCAATTTACGTACCTACATGCTAAAGAGGAGATGCCTTCAGAAAAGCGAGGAAGGTTTTAGCATCTGTATCCAGGCTACCCTCAAGTTCAAGTTCCCTCTGACAGTACAAATTACTTAATTACTGTCAGATCCGGTCTAAATGAGGGCATAACTTGACTATACATAATAATATTAGCAGACATAAAGAACAGGCAGTGCTGGAACAAGATGATGACAGCACACTGGCGGAGAACGAGCAGCACATCTCTGCTCAGCACCCAGCCCCCTGCACGCCCCGCTCCCTCCAAGCACTCGGGGAATCAGAATAATGCAAACACAAAAAATGCAAACCGGTCAGTCACAGGAGCCCACACGAGCTATGAAGTGCAGCTCCGGTCAAATGTCTCTTTGTGGGCTCATCAAAGTCCTCCTAACAGATGGCAAATCGAACGTGTGCCAGGAATTTCAAACACTCCTCAGGAAGTTCAGCTAAACCATCAGCAAACCATTTGCACTTAAAACAGAGTGAACCCTGTCGCCCAAATGTGACCCAGATAATGTTTCTGACACATTTACCTATTTGGATGATACCTTTAAATTGGACTTTGATCTGCTCATGGAGATCCAGGTTCCTGCAGAGCCTGTAAAACATACACAGAACTACATTTTAAGGCATAATATGATGATAATTGTAAAAAAAAAAAAAAAAAAAAAAAAACTGTGTTTTTTCTTGGATAGCAGTAGTCAAAGGCTGAGCAATGTCTGCACCAGACTCACAGATTTACTTTGCTGTCGGCTTTGTCGCTGCTGCTTTTTCTGTGCAGAGCGGGGACTCTCTGCTCCATCTTCCTGAGGGAGGGGTGCAGAAGCTGCAGTTAAATAAAGCAGGCAAGCTATGCTGTTGATGGTCCTGGAGAAACGAGAACAACAGAAGTGATGACAACAACGTCATGCAGTTGGTTGGCTCTTACCTTCCGCCACCCGGCTCCCAAGCAAATGCTCTTGTGTCCTCAGTGGCCTCTGCAGTGTCTGGCAACATGATGAGCCCAAACCAGCCCTGCGTGGCCAGGCTGTGCCGGGAGGCACCTTCTTGTCCTGAAAAATCTGCTTCCACCTGCCCCGGAGAGGCACCTTCTTGTCCTGACCTGCCTCTGGTGGGTGAGAAGGGGCTTCAGTGCCCAGTGAGGTGCCAGTGGCACCCTCAGGCACAGGAGGGCCTTGCTGCTTGTCCGAAAGCTGGGTTCCCCCATCTCCTCACCATTCCCTTTCTCAGCCTGGCAATTAACCAAGTGCTTAATGGGATAAGTACCGTTATTGCTGGACCTGCTCACAGTTGTTTTTGTCTGCCAAGGCAGGGCTGCTTGGCATGGTAGCAGCTCTGGAGGTAGTGACTGTAATTACACAGCAACAGCCAGCACTCACTCAGCATTTAGGGGGCAAGCAAAACAGCGTAGTTATCATCCTGTGCGGCTCCTCAGCCCTCCCCTGGGTCCCATATAAGTGAGCCCCAGGACAGGGAACAAGCCCCGGCTTGGGGCTGCCTCCTGGTTTTAGGACAGCTTTGTCCTCCTTGTGGGACCGTGCAAGGCTGCACGCAGTCGTGGTGGCCACGTGGGGCTGGGTGAAGCAGGTGGTGTGTGGGGTTACTGACAAATGGTGCAAATAGTAAGCAATGGGGCCATCCCCCAGCCATCGACTTACTGATGGTTAAGTGCAGAAATACAAAAAATATATATATTTTTGGGCATTGTTTAATGTTTCAAAAACACAGAGGAGAAAAAAAAAAGCACAGACCCATTTTACCCATTCCACTTCTCTGCATGCAAACTGGCTTTAGTGGCAGGGACGATGTCTGTGGTCTCTAACAGCAGCAAGAAGAGCCCCTGGAAGAGCTCCATGCAGATACTTGCCAGTACCAGCAATGTTTTTGCCTCACCTGATGCTTTTGGAGGCATCGTTATTGCCTCACCTGCTGCTTCTAATCCTTCCAAAGCTGAGCGATGCAGAGTGTCCTCCCTGCCACTTTGGATGGGGTCCTGCTGAGCTCCAGGACCTGAGGACTTCATTTGTTTGTTTCTTTTTGAAACTTTAATGCTAAACCTTCTTTGGTGAGTGATTTTCATATTCAAAGGAATCGCCCAGCTGAAAGACAAACAACACGCCAGCACAACCCATTTCAAGGAGTATCAGAAAATCCACAAAGATGCTTAAAAATAATTAACTGAAATAACCTTTATCTTAATCACTTCGTGCGGAGAGTGACCAGAGAGGATTTGTTTATAACACCCTGTTGTGTGCAACATGCAAACCTTCCATAACTCTTTTCTGATGGGTTGCAGCAGAGCCAGGATGCAAACTGGTGGTGAGGAGATGGGGAAAATCCTCCACGGGTTGCTTTGAACGTGGAAATGAATTTCAGCCCCGCCACTTCAGAACGCTTTTTGTTTACTTTCCACTGACATGAAATCAGCAGTGATTTTGTAGCATGCGGGATCGGTTAGCTGGTTACATAATGCTTAATAAATCCAAGAGAAATAATATAAAACACATCGCCCAGTCCGGGAAGAGTAACGGTATCTCAGCTGTGTCACCAGCCCGCCCGGCCGCTGGCTTTTGGCAAAAGGCCTGACCTGGTGCTGGGGGCCGCGAGCTGTACGAGCAGGAAAAGGGGCTGTGCTGGGCTGGGGAGCCTTGGGGACGCACAGACTGCAGGCAATGCTCAGGGGGCATCCCCGTGCTGCTCACCCGTCCTGCTCTCCCAAGCACGTGCTTGCATGCCCAGCTCCAGCTGCATCTGCTGCCCCTGTAAGCAGCACCACTGCCCCCACTGATTGTCCTCAGGGTGCTTTGTAAAGGGTGTAACAGCCCTGTAAGCAGCAAGAGTGGGATTTGGTGGTTGGATAGCACAGGCTGTGGCCGCAGGGTGGTGTGGAGAAGAGGGGACATTTGGCCAAGGTGTCAGCACTGGTCTCCTCTGCCTTCCCCGAGCTTCCCTGCCCGTTCTGTGCCCTGCTCTGCCTCCTGCCTGCTGCCACCTTTGCACCCTGGACATCACCCTGCAAGGTGCCGGGGCTGGCGTTGCCTCTGCCCTGCGGTGGTTTCGCAGCAAAGAGAGCAGAGCTGGGGACGCAGGGGTTAATCCCAGCAGGCGCAGCGCTGGGGCCAAGTCTGTAAGTGACTCCCTTTGCTATTTCGAAAAGAGGCTGCCTGGAAAGGGAAAGGAAAAAAAAAAAAAAAAAAGAAAGAAAAAAGAGAGAGAGAAGGTTTACTTTACAGCCATCGTTATTTCATCTGCACAGTTTATACAATGGAAAATAAAAGCCAGGGTATGCGAAGGCAAGTCATTTCTGTTTCATTAATGGTATGGAAATCGTTTTGTTTTTATAGGGGAAAAACAAATGTGAACTTGATGTGTGTGTGTGTGAGTGTGCATGCAACTCCCCTCATTGCAAAGGGCAGAGCAGTGAAATCCAGAAATAAGAAATGACTCAGAGGCCGTAGGATCTATGAGTCAGTTGAGCTGTTGTTGTTTTTAAACACGAGCGAGAGCACAATATGGGCGACGATCGCCCGCGCAGCCCTCCTGGCCGGCCCCAAACCCAGCTCCAGCAGCCCCAGGGGTGGAGAACGGGGTCTGGGGCAGGGAGCTCGAGGTCCCCCGCAGGGAACGTGCCCTGCCCAGCTCGGTGCCTTGGGCAGGAACAAGATGGATGTGGAGGTGGCCAGAGGAGATGAGCAACTCCACGAGCAGATGGAGAACCGCTCGCCCTGTCCTCACCCACAGGCAAGACACTGGCTGACCAAAATTGAAGAGAAACCTCTCCTCGCTGGCTCCAGGTACCTCACCATGATATGACCCAGCATCCCAAAACAACACGAGGTCTCTGGTTCACAAAAGGTACCCCAGCAACACCAGAGACTGCCCCAGCAGAAGGACAGACAATATTCGGCAGAGCTCGTCTGTCCCTGGGGAGAAGTTTGATCATGATGTAATTCAAGCATCTGAAAGAGATTTGAGAGGTCAGCTGGTACAGTCCATACCCAATTTACTTTGTAATAGGACTAAGCATTATTTGCTAAACACTTAATTTAAGGGGTTATTTTTACAAAGAAAAAAATAAGTGGTAGAATAAGTCAGTTACCAGCCTGTTTGAAGAAGGTCCAAATAAACCAGAAATGTATACTGTGTGTCTTTTTGGCACGGGGAAGCACTGATGTCTAATGCAATCAAAATCAGCCCCTTTTTATTCACCAGGAAACGTTACTGGCTCGCTCCTCGCTCCACACGTCCGCTGCCAAGTACAGTATTTGTTCTGTGGGACTGTGCAGGACCACAGACCTGAGGGCAGAGCTGCTCCCCCGAGCCCAGTGTGTGCGCTGCCGCTGTCCCCGCAGAGCCTCATGTGCAGAGAGAGGGGTGTTGAGTTCTCTCCGCTCAATTTGGGCTCCCCAGACGAGGAAACCCAGGGTCCCTGCTGGGCAGATCACACCGGACAATTGCAAGAGGGACATCTGGCCCTGTAGGGATCCCCTGGAAATCAGGGATGTAGGAATTGCCCTGCTGCATCCTGCCCATGGCAGCTCGGAAGTAATGGGGGCAGATCCTGGAGGTCTCACGTGTGGGTCAGCGAGCAACCACAGCACATCAGCCCCGCTGCTGTTCTAATCTCGAAAACAAGTACTGTATATAATAGGGAAGGAATTTGTTTGTTCTCATAATAATTTTATGAGCAGCTCTGTTATTATGCAGTCATGTCATTAGCTGTGGACGACGGCCCGGCAAAAAGCCTCGTCCTGAGCTGGGAGTGGATGGAGGACTCGTGGCTGAGCCCGGTATCCCGTGCTGCACCCACATCTCCAACTGCACCCGCCGACCTGCCCAGGGGCCCCTGCCCCACCCCAGCCCTGATATGAACCCCCAAAACAGTGGGCATTCCCACCGGGTGCACCCTCTGTGCCCAGCCCTCCAGCTGTGGTGCCAGCTGAGATGCCAGAGCTCCAAAATCCCACTGGTTAGAGTGGGATTTGTCTCCCCCCGGCACAAAGTCTGGGACTCGGGGCTGACCTGCTGGGGAAAGAGGATGCAGAGAGCTCCTGGAGCAGTGAGAAAGCCTTGTGCAACTAGGAAACCTTGTGCAACTGCTGGCTGAGCACCAGCTGCGCCCCGATGCACGCAGACACGCAGAAAGGAGGAGGCCAACCTCACTGTGAAGTGCTTATGACCCAAAACCATCAGTTGTTCTTTGTCCTTGAATATTAAGGGCAATTTAAGTGCAATTTAGTACTGAAAGATGGAGCGTAATGGGCATAAGGATGAGACCTGAGCAGGTCCTGCCTGGCAGAAGCCTTGGTCCCTTCCACCTCGGGAAGAAGATGGACAGTGTGTGCCTCAGCATCTCGCACCGAGTGCCTTGGCTTACACCCCTCTGCTGTTGGATTGCCACAAAACAGCTCAGCAGACACAATTTGAGAATGAAAACCACTCATTCCACTCTGCTGTGAAGCGAATTGCCTGAGCATGCCATCACTTTGGCTACAAAGCGCCGTCTCCTTCCCCGTAACGAACATGCCGTGCTTCCACCTCCTCACACTCAGGCTTGCTCCTCGCCAATACCACTCACATCCCAGCATCCATGCTTCAACTGGCCCTCCAGGAGAGCGTGGATGCCCTGTGGGCAGCAGCAGGCAGGAGGAAAGACGTCCTGACATGCTTGGATGGTGGTATCAGCCCTGCAGCTCTCGCGGGCACTTTTGGTGTAGTTTTTCCCTTCTTATGCCTGCTTGAAAATTGTCTTGTATTCCCCCCGTCGCCTCTCCGGGGTCCTGGTTATAGATAGCAGGAGATTTGATGCCGTTCTCGTGCACAGGAGAACAAGCCTTCCTATTGATAAGAAGCCAAACTCACTGTGAGCCCACCTCATCGGTGACTTCAAACCGTCTTTCCAACCGTTGTTCCACAATAACTTTGACTAACTGTACTATTTATTGGCTCACATCACATCCTTATGGCTTCAATTTATTTTTGGAAAACTCAACCCACATTTAATTAGTTTATAGTTTGTTCCAAGTTTTGCTTATCCAGCTCTTTTTTTTTTTTTTTTTGAAGTTTATATTTTGATGTTTAGCATTTGCCTTGGCAACATCTGGAACCCCTTTATGGAAGCGTATTGTTACTTTTACTGCTCGTGCAGCTTTATTAAATCATCCACGTATTAATATTGAAAGTGTTCATCTGGGTCTAATCAGGGCCAAGACGAGTGATGTGGCAGCTAAATTGTACCTACGAGCTCGTGGTTCAAGGACACGAAGTTCTGAGGAAACTCACAGTGGGCTTTGTGCACTTCTGTTGAGGAGAATAAGGAGGGGGGAAAAAAAAAAAAAAGAAAAGATATTCCTGCTCTGACCTTTCTTGCAGAGCAGATAACAGCATCGCAGGCTGAGCTCGTTTAGAACAATTTGTCTCCAAAGAATTTTGTCCAGTTACTGCTGTATTTCTGGCTCTCGTTTCCACTTTTAACTCTTTCATCAACCCTTGCTCCTTGTAGTGCAGGTGATCACAAACCCGGATCCTCACCGCATGCTGGGCACTGTGCTCACACCCTGAGCCCTCCAGCAAAGCCTCACATGGGGTGTTAACAGGTAAATGACAGCCCCATGGGTGTGAATAATTGAATAGCAAAACCCTAATGGGCATCGAGCAATAAGGGCATTGCAGGCAGGGGAGGAAGGGACTCACCAGTGGGCATGGATTTGGCCACGGCCATCCCCTTTATCCCACCAAACCTTCAAGCCTTGGCAGTCCAAAATAAACCCCAGCAGCAAGGCCAGTGGGGAGCAGCCCATTTTTCCTGGGGCACTGCATGAAGGAAGCCCTGCAGAGAGCAGAGGTGCTGGGCTCCATCTCTGCATACAATGACTGGGCACCAGAAGTTGTCTTTCTGGACAAATCCAGATAGAAAATACTTTCTTTCCCCTGGACCAACAAGATTTATGAAGCAGCAACCTAAAGCTGGGCAGACTTTCTATAGAAATGACTATTTTTAAGCCCTGTTTGTGGTTAAAACTTCCCATGCAATCCTTCTCTGCATGCAATAAAAATTCTCCATGAGGAGTACAGGTAGCCCACACCTCTGAAGAAGAGCTGCTGTAGTTCAGGTTCCCACCTGTGCGCTCCTGCATGTATTTCTTAGACTAAATGTTTATTAGTATGTACTTCTACATAAGCTGTTTAGTGGCTTCATTTTTCTTTTTTTAGTGGGAAAAAAAAAGACATTTAGCAGCCTTAACAGGAAGTTTAAATTTAGCTGGGATTTATTCCTTAACTGAGAATAGTTCCTATAAAAATAGAGATAACTTGCTCCCGTCCGGTGGGAGCTGCCACCGCGGGGCCAAGAGAGCAGCATCTGCTCGCTGTGAGCTTTGCCACCAGCTAGAGCACGTTGGACTGAGCAGCTGGGCAAAACAAAAGCTACAAATCCACGTAGAAATAGTCATTTTGGGCAGCTTCCCCAACAATGTGTGAATTGCTGAAACCAGCTGGATGCTGTCCTCTGTGCCCCGCAGCCTGGTGTGCCGGTGCCCGCCGCAGCCTGAAGACCAACCTGTGCAAGTGGTGCGACTCCACGCCGCCGGCCTGCGAGCAGGAGGTGTGCTACAGCAACTGCAACCTCAACTCCTACTGCGAGGACCCCTACGAGATCTGCGTGGCCATATGGTGAGCTGCAGCCCCAGGGAACAGGGGGATGTGGGGAAAAAGGGGTTGTGGGAATGTGCTCATGGGGATGCTCATGCTTGAGCTGTTGGGCATCAAAATCATTCAGGGCTTTCTATTTCTCCCCCGTTGACTCTGTTGTAATCACAACTGCAATGTGATTTGGTGTTTCCTATAATTAGTACTAGTTTATTTTCTAAATAAATTACGCGTATAAATGCCTGATGCAGTGCTGCTGCAGTCAGGACCTCTGCACACACGCAAACCTGAATTGAGCTTTGCAGGCTGAGCCTGTTGGGCAGACCTGACCCCAGAAGCCGTGATGTCCTCCTGCATCAGGCTGGGAAAAGCCCGGTTTGGGGCTGCAAATCCTCATCTGCACCCGAAGATCTGTCCCCATCCAGTGAATTGGGAATTGGAGCTGGTACCAAGCTGCTGGTATCATCCCCAGGGAAAACCCTTTTTTGCTTTTCCTGGAAATGCCTGGAAAGGAAACACGATCCAGCATTTGGGTCAAACGTACACCCGGATGAGCGCCTCCCACAGCTTTTTGGTCCCCATGAGCAAAACTAAAACAAAAGTCCATTTTGGGTCTACCCAAAGTGATTTTCTTCTCTGTCCCTTTTAATTTGGCTGCCAGAGTGAGAGCCAGCTAAGCACATATCACTGGGCTTTATCTCAACCTGCTAATTAGTGTGATCACTGGACTGCCCCACTTTCAACAGGGTTTTGCCTCAACGTAATTGTTGCATTATGGACTGAAAAAAAATAACAAAAACACAAGACCAGCGAGAAACCCAAACAAACAAACAAAATGTGCCCCTTGCCACCCCCACCCCCAAAACTAGAAAAATCTGACACTCTGCCCCAACTACCCCTGCACACAGATGGGGAGCAGACCTTAAACCCTGCATAGATGAGTCAATGTCTTTCAAATTACCTGGGCTTCCCAAGAAAATGCCAGGAGCACTAAGGCAAACGTTGTTTCACTCACTTCAGTGGGATGAGGATGACAAATCTGGGTTCTTCAGTTTTATTTCCAGTTTCACAGCAAGGCATTGTGAAATCTCTCCGTACCTCCATTTTTCTCCAGAAACAAGGGTCACACCCTGGTGTTCTGCCTTGGCAGCTGCTTTTAGCTCCTCATTAGCCCTTAATTACACACTGGCTCTAGAGGAGTACCCAATGATCCTCCTCAGGTGAAGGTCTGCTGGGCGCAGTGCAGCTGCCACCCCTTGCTCACCATGCAGACCACCTGGGTTAGCTCTGCTCCAGCTCTCCATGGCAGCTCCTCCCATCTCCTGGCTCCAGCTCCTCACGGCTGCCACCAAAAGCTCTGGAGGGAATATACTCAGCTGTTGGGGAAAATTGCCCCCCAGGCTGCCAACAGGACTGGCCTCAAGGTGCCCAAAGAGCCGTGCAGTTTGAACATGCTCCTTCCCTGCCCAGCTGGCTCTTCTCTCCGTCAGCCCGTTGTCCGTGCTGCCCGTGGTGATGGCTGCTGGTGGTGCTCCATGACCTGAACCGAGGGGTGGAGATGAGCTCGCGCCTGGGGTTTGGATGGTGATCTGCATTTTTCTGGATCTGTGGTGGGAGTTTCACAAGTGTGATTCTAGCCTGGGCTTATCTCCCCATAAACTAATGCAGAGGCCAAATACCACAGGCCCAATACAACATTATTAAAAATAACATGTGCTCTGTACCTTACCCCATCTTGGCCATCAGAGGCACACATCCCCACGACCCCCACACCCAAAGCGAGCTGCCTGCCCCGTGTGCTGCACCACTGCCAAAACCCGCTCGGGGCATGGGGAGCGTAGGAGACCTCACAGCAAAGCACTTCCCTGATGGCTTTTCTGGGCTGCTAACCAGCAAGGATGGCTTCACCGTGCTCTGAAATAAGGGGCTCCCATGCGCCAGGACACAGTTGGGTTGGACCCTCTCATTAAGCCAATGCAGTGACAGGGAGAATGGGGGATCTGCAGCAAATGAGCAGGAATATACATGTTATACATTTCCCTATACATGTGGCAGCTTTCCACAGCTTAGAAACAGACACAGCCCTACAGCTCCTACGTGCCCAGGAGCCGTATCATCATCACATTATTTCTATAAAAGTTCTGACCTTTGGAGCTGCTAAATTATAGTCCCCACCAGCTACCCGATGGCCCTGCTCCTGCAGGTGGGCATAAGTGGTCACCCAAGGACAGTGCTTGAAAACCAGCATTTAGCCCAGGAATTCACCAACGAGATGGGGCCAACCAGCTCCGCCAACACGTGTATGCCGAGGGGAGGAGGGTGGAGGCACACAGCCAAGCCATTGCTCAAGGGCAGGCATCACAGTCACCGTGTCCCCTGCCTCTCCTGCACAGGTGGTGGGGGTTTGGAGCCCTGCCGAGGCAGGGATTGCAGCAGAATAATGCGCTAGTTGGGAAGAGGCTGTCCTTGCTTTGGAGGTTTCCTTTGGACCGTGCAGCAGCAACGTGGAGGAAATAATTCCACCCGCACCTGGCCTGGCTGCTGGCACTGGGAAAGGAGGGATTTTGCCCCAGATCCCACGCAGGGCACTGAGCCTTAGGGCTGGCACTACCTGATCCAACACCTATTAACTTGTGAATTATCTACAGGAAACAACAGAGTCCCTGGCTCAGATCCTACTCTTGGCATGCGTTACAAATTTCTCTTCCACCATTTGGAAGAGATAAAGAGATTTAACAAAGCCCCCCACAGGCACATATAGTAAGAATTATACCAGAGTCACCACAAACAGGTCATTCAATACACAATTTAAAACTGATGCTCGGGTGATGTTGGGCTGGAAACCCCATGCTGCCTGCTCTCTGAAGGCTGCACCACTAGGCTAACGCTTTGTTGGTTCATTTGGCACCTGCAGGAGACAGGACAACGACAGCATCAGGATCAGCACGCTCTGCCACAACCCACACCGTCCCATAGAAAACCTCATGGTCCCGAACTACAACACCTCGCGCTGCATCATGACCCACCAGCCCAGCGAGGAGGGGATCATCTACATCTGTGGCTGCGTGGACGAGCAGGAGTGCAATGACAAGCTTATATTTGAAAACCACACCAACGGTGAGTAGCTTTGCTAGTGTTATGTAAAGTGGGTAGGAGCACTTAAAGCTAACGATAAATTAAGTCACGTGTTGGGCCTTTGCATTTCCAAGAAATGGGGTAGCAGATGCAGTGTCTTCTTTCACCTTCTATGTGAGGTAGGTAAAGTTTGTACCCCCTCACTGAGCCCAGCAGTTTGCCAGTGGCTCAGCCATCCCTCCAAGAAATTCCTCCTGAGAACACCAGATGGAAAATGCACCGTGTCCTTCAGTAGGCTGCGCCCTTTGACATGAGGCAAATCAGCCAGGGAACCCAAGAGCTGATGTAACTCGGAGTGAGTCAGTCTAAAAGCTTTGAGAAAATCACACCAGCTCAGATCCTGCACCAGACTGCTGCCCAGCAGCGTGGTGGTGCCAGGGAGATGGGGCTCAGCAGGCGGTGGTGCTGGGCATCACCTTCCCCACCTCTCCTGGGGCTTCTGCAGCAGCATTCTCCCTGCACACAGCTGCAGGCCCTACAGCAGCTTTAAATCCACGCTGGGGAAAACAAAGAGGCAGCTCGTGTCTGTTCCTCTGGAGGGAGGTGTGCTTTGGAAAAGCTACCAGCTAGATCGTCAGCCTCTGGAGCCTTGTCCAGACCTCCAGAGCTCCAACTGGACCAGGTCTATCCAAGCGCCCATCAGGCATCTGACCCATAATAGAGGCAAAGCAAATCCCCTCTAATTTTCCATAATTCATGAGATGCTGAAAATGATACTAAGTATAACCTACGATCCAGCAGCACAGCTTCTCCCACAATGCTAGAGGGGGGAAAAAAAAGCATATAAAATGCAAATTCTCAGAACAAACAAGCCACTTTTAATGAAAGTAAATGATGCTAAATTTGGCAGTCCTTTGCTGCTCGCTGAGCCAAACATAACAGGTACACACACTTCTAAAGAGAGATAGTCAAATCCCAGAGCTGATGCTGGGATATATAATTTCACACCAAAATGACAACTGGCTCATTGGAAATGCCGCCCCCAGCCAGGACTTTCACAAACAGCCTCCTTTTGCCAACCAGCACGTAAAACGCTGAAACCCAGAGCTGGGCAATGCGTGGGCTGAGACCCAGGGTATTTTGCAGAGAAAGCAGAGCCACTGCCTCTGCTCTCGGTGGCAGGGGTGGGAGCCGTGCTGCAGCCCCCTCATCACAAGGGGTTTGTGTTGGGAAGGGGCATCCTCACAAAGGAATTTGCTGAAGCTGTGGTAACTCACTGCTTTTGGGACTCATGCACGCGACGCCCTTAAAAATATCTCCTCTTTCTTCAGCGTTTCAGAGATGGGATCTTAAGCATCGGGAAAAGCCATTAAAGCAGTAGGTGATATCCAGGCCTCGCGCTTTCCAAAATAAACATATTCCTGAGTTAGTTATTGATTTATATCAGTTTAGGTTGATCTTGTGGTTTGAACCTGATGCCTATTTTAGAAACGCTTTCACAGCCTCGCAGAAATTAGCTGCAGCACGTTTTTTGAAATTTGCCAAGTAAAATAGCGAAACGCTCTGTTTTTCCAGAACCTGAATTATGATCTGCACACACTGAGGTCAAGCAGCAAGAGTTTTGCTTATGGAATGATTCTTATCCCTCTTCCCCTGGGTTATTATACTTGGCAGAAAAACCTCTGAGTAAGATTTTACTTGAATATCTCTACTGAAGTCAGCATGTTTATTCCAGGAATTGCGAACATCAAAGCATCAGACAATTACACGTTGCGCGAGGGTTAGGGTTTTTCCCCCCACACTCCAATGAGCTGAAGGCGGACAGGGGCTTAGAAGACATAAAACAAAAGCGAGCGTGCCCAGGGTCGGTCGATGGGTGCCAGTGCTGCAACGTGATGATAAACACCACACGGACAGCACTGAAGCGATGCTCCTTTATGGCAGCATCGTTCGTGGTCCTCCATGCCATCCCATCCTCCCCTCTGGCATCCCTCCTCACCCTCCATGCACAGAAGGGCTCCAGAAAAAAAACTAAAAACTTAACAATTTCAGATATTTGGTATATTCAAGCCTTGCTTCAGCTTTACCACCATTATTTCTGCCCCGGCACAGAGAGGCCGTGGCTGCAGCGGGGTCCGGCGCCCCCAGCCCATTGAGCGCAGGCCGGCCTCCCGGGCCCTTGCTTGACAAACAGCCCTGAATTCGAGACCTAAAATGAACAGCCCTCGCAATAATTGCATACATCTGGGTTCTTACCCTTTGCTCAGATGGGATTTGTGTGCAGCCTGCATTACCGCCCCGCGAACGGCTGCGCCTTATTAACCGCTCCACATATTTTCCTCCTACCCGCGATCAAAACAAGATGTCACGGGCCCCTCATGGCAGCGCCTTCCTCTCCGCTTCCCTCCCCACAGGCTACTCCATGCTGCAGAGCAAGGAGGTCATCCCGGTGGCCGCCATCAGCCTCCTGCCGCCGCTGCTGGTGGCGGTGATGATCACCGTCATCTTCTACCTCTGCCGCACGCAGAAGCGCCGCAAGAGGGCCAAGGCATGGGGTGGGAAGCAGGGGCAGCCCCCGGCGCTGCCGGAGCCGGGCAGGGCGGCGGAACGGGACGAGAAGCTGTCCGTGATGATGGACGATGGCCCTGCCGGCTTGAGCCCAACCTGCGCCAACAGCCTGAACCACAACACCGAGCTGCTGCCCATCGAGCTGGACGAGATGGTGGGCAAAGGGCAGTTCGCCGAGGTGTGGAGGGCCAAGCTGAACCACAGCAGCTCGGGGCAGTACGAGACGGTGGCGGTGAAGATCTTCCCCTGTGAGGAGTACTCCTCCTGGAAGAATGAGAGCCAGATCTTCACAGACGCCAGCCTCAAGCATGACAGCGTCCTGCAGTTCCTCACAGCCGAGGACCGGGGCTCGGGGCCCCGCAGGGAGTACTGGCTCATCACGGCCTACCACAGCCGGGGCAACCTCAAGGACTACCTGTCCAGCCACGTCCTCAGCTGGATGGACCTGCAGAAGATGGCGGGGTCGCTGGTCAACGGGGTGGCCCACCTCCACAGCGACTACACCGCCTGCGGCCGGCCGAAAATCCCCATCGCCCACCGGGACATCAAAAGCACCAACGTCCTGGTGAAGAACGAGCAGGAGTGCGTGCTCTGCGACTTCGGCATCGCCATACGCCTCGACCCTTCCCTGACGGTAGATGACTTTGCCAACAGCGGGCAGGCGAGTACGACCCCTCGGCACCCCCGTTGCAAGCCACGTGTGCCATCAGACACATAGCACCGGGTGGGAGATGTGGCCTTTACAGACGGGGGTGGTCAAAGCTTAAACCTATGGGATGAGCCCCATTGCACAGGGCAGCTCTGCCAGGTGCTGCTTTTGGGTCCATTAAGGGAGCCCTCACCTCCAGAGCCCACAGCGAGGGCAGCCCCACAGCCACAGCAGGCAGGTGGAGGCAGAGCAGGGGTCTCTACACCAGTCCATCCACACCAGGAGACCTCACCCGTGTGCTCCCCTGCCCCTGCTAACCCTTCTCTTCTTTGTGGGCAGGTGGGCACCGCCAGGTACATGGCTCCTGAGGTGCTGGAGTCCAGGGTGAACCTGGAAGACCTGGAGTCCTTCAAGCAGATGGACGTCTACTCCATGGCCCTCGTTCTGTGGGAGATGGCCTCCAGATGTGAAGTGGTGGGAGGTAGGCTTGTCTTGTCTCGCCCAGGCTTGTCTCGCACATCGTAGCCCCCTTCCCACACATACAGTGACCATCCTGGCCCTCATGTCCCTGCTGGTGACACTGCTCCACCTTGACACCAGGGCTGTAGGCACAGGATGTGGTTTCAGGTGGGATCTGCCACCAGCTTTGATGACCACCAAGGGCTGGCATTTGCCCAAGCACTCACTGCATGTGTTGTGGCTCAAAGGGGATGGCACCGTGGTCGAGGAGCAGCAGAGGGGACCCCAACACCTCCGGCTGCAGCTGCAGAAAGGCTTAGCGGGGGTGGACAGCTCAGGGAGGTCTCCAGCTCAGGTCTTCAGGACGAGGGGGTGGTTGTCCCAGGGCCCAGCATCTCCTGGTAATGAAGTGTTACAAAGCAAAGAGAATGGGAAAAAGGGGGGTAAATTCAGCAAATGTAAACCCAGAACCCAGAATTTCACTTGGGGGATCAGAAAGCCCCCAAATCAGGCTACAGCTGCTGTCTTTAGAGTATAAACACTCCCCCTGTGCAGCTGCATCGTGCAGCTGCAGCAATGTAAGCAACCGAGCATCTTTGCTTGGCCCACATGGTGCTGGTGAGTGGCCAGAAAATTAAAGCTAATTAAAGCTATTGGGGTTGGGAAAGACAAAGAGTGGCCTCTCACCTCTGCAGTGCAGGGCTCCTCAGTGGCCTGCCATGACCTGGGGCTGCTCTTCTGCAGGGGCCATTTCTCCTCTTGCCCAGCCTCTGCCCACAGCCCAACTGGGGTTGCCTCTCCTGTCTTTCACCCCCATGACACATCTTACCTGCTGAAAACACGCTTCACCCAAAGGAAGACCAAGTCTTTTGCAGTACTCCTATGTTCAGAAAAGTGGCCAGGCAGATCGACCAACCTGTCTGAAAACCACCTTTAAAGCCTGGCACTATACTTTTGTGTTCAAATCCTAGATTGTTTCCAGATAGGTTTCTGCAGACTGATAAAAACACATTTATTCCCATCCAGTAGGCCACACCAAAGTAAGGCAGTCAGTGTGCAAAAACCGTGCCATTACACTGCTGTCACTTCCTTGCAGAGGTAAAGAATTACGAGCTGCCTTTTGGGTCAAAAGTCCAGGAGCAGCCCTGCGTGGACACCATGAGAGACATCGTGCTGCATGGCAGAGGGCGGCCTGAGATCCCTAGCAGCTGGCTGGTACATCAGGTAAGGCAGGAGCAACCCACCTTGCCCCACCTCACTGACCCAGCCTGAAAATCAGTAAAGCTGCAGTCAAATCAGCACGGCTGCCTGAGCTCAGATAAGCCCCCTAGACCCACTTCAAACCATCAACAAGGGGTAGAGAAACATTAATTGGTGAATAAATGGCCACAATCAGGAACTAGGAACACCAAGTGATGGCATTCAGCTATCCCATGGATGCTGTAGTGCAGCAAAACAGAGCACTTCAGCACAAGACTCCTGAAACAGTCACTCCTGTGAGTCTGCTCCAGTTCTGCCATTGCCACTGCATCCAGAAACCCGTGGCTCAGGGAACATGCCATCCCTCTCATCAAGCCTTCCCACAGCAGGCAGGGCGGGGAGGAAGGTGCATCCAGGCCTCTGCCCTCAGAGGGTCTGAGAGCACAGCATTTTAGCACAGGAGGCATAGTCCAGCACTCTAGAACAGAAACACTTCAGCAATAGCGAGATAGGCTGTTAAAGCTATCCACAAACACACCCAGAACAACCAGCTCCAGAAATACTGCTCCCACACGGCCCCCTCCTGGCCCTGACGCGGTGTCCTCTTCCCCACACCCAGTACTCTCTTTCCCTGCATTGAGGACACGAGGGGTAACAGGCACGCTGAGCACCATTTTCAAATCTTGGCCAAATCAGCACTTCCTAAATTTCACGTCTTATAGAAAAACACCATAAACTCATCAACATTTCGGCTCATCTGCAAAACAAGCTGAAGCATTGGGACTGCTGGCTCACAAAGCCCCACAGCGCTCGGTCATTGATCATTGCAGATCGTTTTGCACCATCTACCCCTAAAGTACACTGCTTCCACTGGCTGCACAGCACACAAAGCCAGATTTTTGAGAGGAAAGATACAGTTTCATGATTTTATAAGGCCGCGTATTCCCTACGTCTCTCTCAAAAAGGTGTTTGTCCAAAGCCCCAAGGTCCCTGGCTGACCAAAGCTGCAGCCGGCATCAAATGAATCCATGGTTTCTGTTGGACCATCGGTGAGTTTATCAGTCAGCAAGTTCACAGCTGAAGTTCACCCAGCCTTTTCCCTTGAAGTAGTAAAAATACGCGACCTTAAATCAGCAGTGCTGCATGTTTGAAGCCTTTGAGTATTCATCTCAAACATTCACCTCCCAGGGTCTCTGATAAACTCTGAAACCACAAGAAAAACATACAGAGGCTGGGGTTGTCAAAAATCACACTCTGATAGAGCCTAACCATAACTGTGGTGTTTGCGGAGCTGGAGAAGGGCTGACTGCAATTACCTCCGAGAAATAATGCCGCTGTAGTTGGGTCGGTCTAGCACGTAAACAGAGCGAGGTTTATAAGTCAGTGACTTTTATTAGACCACCTAATAGCCACTGGGGAAGAGGAACAGAAAAGCCACGTTGTGTTCCTGAAAGTTTGCCTCTGACTAATATTAACTGGTCTAATAAACATCTCCCTACAAGCCCGGCTTTAAGAAATACTCCCAGCCTTTCCCAAGCCAGCCTCCCCAGGATGCAGCACAGGGCAGCACCATCTGCTGGGAAACAGCAGAAGTCCACCAGTTCCACCAGTTCATGCGCTGCTCGGTGCCTCCAGCCCCTGCTGCTGCCTCCAAGGTGACACCAACATTGGGGAGACAAGGAGCTCATCTGCAGGGGAAGCACCCGCAGATCGTCCCATCAAAGAAAAACAGTTTGTTACATTGCTCCAAAGGCTGCTTCTGCATGTCAGCATAGGGCTCCCTCAAGTGACTGCCAGCCATGGGTTAGGATTTTCAGCTGACATTGGGGTCACAGCACTGATTTCCCCGAGAGCTGACTTGCCCAGCAGTGCCGCACAACAGCTTGCAAGGCTGCACAACAAAGCCCATTATAGAACGTTATCCCCGAAGTATCCCAGACAATTTGTAAACAGCCCATGCTTCTACCTTCATTTTGCCATTAAAGAGAGTGATTATTTAGGCCAGGTAAATTCCCAGGGCTGGGTCACGAGGCAGCTGAACAGCCTGCTGTACTGTCACTGCTGAAGGGCTGGTGCAGGGCAGGAAGGAGCACTGGGAGCTTAAGTCAATATTGCTGCTAAAAATACGCTTGTAAAACTAACTATAGCCAGACAGAGCAAGCAGCATCCCTCAGAAACCCAGGGTATCAAGCACCAAACCCAAACTAAGCCCGCTTCGCGAGCAGTACAAAATGCAGCAGTCAAAAGAGCATCACCACAGTTATGAGGCAAGCTGCAAATAAATGTCCTGATTCCAGGGTAAAGCAAGCACAGGGAGAGCTGGTGACTGAGCAATCTAACAGTGCCATCTTCTAGCTGAGGAAAGGCTTGTTTTTAAGCTTCAGCTAAACTAGCTCATTTTCGCATGTTAATCAATTATCTTCAAATCCTCCCAATTAGGCTAGCAAATGAATGATGTCAGGTGCACTGAAATGCACCATCTGTCAGTTTTAGTGCACGAGCCCGTTCCCTCTAATCTGGGTCCATTAGGGAAGATTTAGTACAACATTTAGTACAACAAACCTTGGCACAGAGCAGCGGGTTCAGAGGAAGGTGCAGGACAGATGCCACTTGCGGCACACCGCTGGGAGACCCGCGGTTTTTCTTTCATCTTCATGTGATTTTCTTTGTTGTTCTCTTAATTGCAAATTAAGAAATGCACAAAGCCACTGAAAAACATGACGCTTTATTTAGAATAATGATTTTTCCACTGTGGTGCAGCCTCGGTTGACAATGATGAGAAAAGCAACAGCACATGATAGGAGTCACACAGTCAAAGGGAGGTGCAGCACAGCTCCTGGTGCAGCTGCACTACTGGCTAAAAAAGGGGAAATACCAGCAGAACACTGCTGTTTAATTAAAAATAGTGGGACTCTTCACATCACTACACCAATGGAGGTAAAAAAAAAAAAAACAAAAAAAAAAACACACATTACCAGGGGTTGTAACCACTGCAGCCAAAAGGAACTGAACGTGTTCTGAAGCACGCAGAAAAGCCCCCAGCCCCACGTAAGACGCTGTTTTGTGGTGAGAAAAAAGTTCAGCTGCACGCTACGAGGAGTATTTGGCATGGCTGGCCCTCTGAGGAAGCCGCCGAAACAAGAAGTCAGTTTGAGGAAGTTTAATTCTGAACTTTTAATTCCAAACTTGCCTTCAAGCTGCCCCTGCCCATCCCCTCCACCCAACTTTGCGGGTCACCACCTGCACCTCCCCTCGCCCTCCTGGTTTTAGGGTGCTTGGCCAACACTGAGAGCAGATGGAGGGCGTAAGTCCCTTGGGGCCCTGGTTAAGCCCCGCAGTGATTGCACTCCAGCTTTCAGGGAGGATTTCCTGGCAGGGTGAAAAATGCTTGGGACCAGACCCCATGTCAGCAGAGGATGCTCCTGCGACCCAAGCAGTGCCAGTACCAGTACAAACTATTGGCACTTGCCACAGATTTCCAACGCTTTTTCCTCCTGTGCTTAAGCTTAGCAGAAAAAAAAAAAAAAAAAAAGTATTTCCGCAGGAAGCTGTCAAAAGCCCATTAAAACACTGCTTTACTGAGCTTTTAGCTTCTCTCCCTCCTGCCTTCAGCCCTTAATTTCAGCCCTTCCACCCGCAGGGGATGCGTTTTCTGTGCGACACCATCACCGAGTGCTGGGACCACGACCCCGAGGCTCGCCTCACCGCCCACTGCGTGGCCGAGCGCTTCAACCTGATGGCACAAATGGATTGCGACGACATCCTCAACAACAACACGGACAGCGAGGCTGACAAAACGGCCTCCCCGGGCGGGGAGCACCAGGACAGCGACGGGAGCAGAAACGTGCAGTGATGCAGCAGGCAAGAAGCCTCTGGAAACAGGAGGATGCGCCAGGAGCGTTTAGCTCACCGGGAAAAAGCCTCCCTTTGTTTTTCCAAACGGAACTAAGATCTAGTACATAACTTATTTATGAGATCTGTTTCCTCCCACAGATACAGTGAACTGTGGAATCAATACTGTGGTTAAAGTGCAACAGTGTATATGAACTGATTTTGTACTTACTTTAAATGTATAATGATGCAAAGCATTTCTTTTATTATTTTTTAAAATAATAATCTTTTATTAATAAGCACCTGAACTCCAGGTTCATCTTTTGAAGTCCTTTTGTGCAGTCATCAGAGTTTCTCCTCTAACTGTTTATTCCACAGAAGTCAAAACATTTTGACTGCTTTTAATGCCCCTTCCCCCCAAAAAAAAACCAAACCAAACCAAAACAAAACTGTTGTAGAAGCAGTAAAAAGATGAGGTAGTGACTTGAAATGATTCTCAGCGGAACAAAAGCCAGCACCCAAGAAGTAGTTCAGTTAATCGGGCAGTCCTTAACACATTGTGAGGGTACCCGATAATCCAGTTCATCAAAGCCTGATTTGCTGCAACTCCCACACGCTTTTTTGTCTTTTCAAATGGGGAATTCCTGGGTGTCCTTAATGATTCAGGTGGCCACGTGAAGTTTCTTCAATAGAAGAAAAATGTGCATGCTCCAGCCTCAGAAGCCTCCATGCAGGATGTCAGGAGGGTTCTGTGCACCACCACCACCCCTCCCACCCGCCGGTACCCAGTCCGGTTTCCAGCCACCTCCAAGCAGCAGGTTGGTACTACAGCAATCCTGCCAACACGGGCACCTTGGCCAATTCTTCTTGCAGCTCTTTCACACACGCCCCACCGCGTTACTCAACCTGAAGAAACATGATCAGGCAGAGCTGGGACCTTTCCTTCCCGTAACCACCGGACCAAGCCAGATGGACTCTGCCGTGGAACAGCAATTAACCCAACGCGAAAGGTAAGTCACTCCCCAATGAACCCTGGCATTGCAAATCTTAATCCTTGCAAGCGAAAGGCAATAAAAACCTCAGCTGCTACCAAGAAGCCCTGCAAGCCCATACCTGACATGCACCTACACAGAGGTTCTCCCAGGAGAGCAGGAAAGAGGAGCAGTTTGCTTGCCAGCACTGCATGGATCAACCTCCAGACGCAGGGGGAAGGGACTAAAGCACGTAAAGGCCATGAGCAGCCTCCAGCCGAGGCTCCTTGATGTGGAGCAGCAAAGCAGATCTGCAGGGCTGCTTTGGTTTCTCAGAACACACAGCTATGACAGCACCAGCCCATACAAAAAGCTCTTCTCATCTCACTGTTGTTCCGCCTTTTTGGGCCATTTCCACAGCCCCTGAATTAAAGGTAGCACAAAAATGTCTCTAATTCCCTCAGAAGGGGAATGAATTAGGTTGCATCAAACATAAATAACAAAAAGCTGTATCAGCTGTGATGTACAAGTTTCCACCCGCAACTGTTACCCTACCTGTCATTCTCAGCAGTCACCCACCTGGTTGCTGCCTCTGTCACCTTACAATCTCCAAGTCAATCCTTTCTCTTGAAGCAGATCTTTTCTGGTTCACCACAAACACCACCCTTTCCACCCACCCAACTTCAGTCTGATTTATTTAATGCATTAATCACTGCTCTGTCTGTATGCCCAGGAGGAACAGAGGGCATGATGCAGCTTTTCTAATAGTGACAGAAACTGAGAACACACCAAACTCCCTCTACGCTGTCAAATCCTTCCTTCCTGCAATATTCAGTGCAAAGTTTCCCACTGATGTTTTCATCAAGCTGTTTGGATATAACACTGGTAAATATATTCACTTTTTCTTCCAAGTTCAGTTCAAGAGGCTTTAAAATGCACTCTGACCTGGTCTTCCTCCAGAGGCGACCAGGACCAAGAGGGGATCAGCCTGTGTGAACTGAAAGCTGAAGGCTGCAGCTCCCATTCTGAGGGCTGGAAATTCTCCCAGGGAGACAGACTTTGCCCTAGGCTTGATAGCTTACACTGTAGATACTCCACTCAAAAGAGTATTTTAAGAAATGCCTCCTAATCTATTCCCCTCCCCATGCCTGAAAACAAATTCTTCCATTTATACATTCATTCCTCCACCCCCCAATGAAAAACAATCCAATAACCAAGCTTTCAGGGTCATACACTCGCATTCCCACATTAAACAGCGACACACCACACTCAGCTCTCCATGAGCAGCAGGACACCCAGCACCTCTGAAGAGGGCCAGTTAACCTCCAGGATCTACTTACATCTCCAGGAGCCCAAAACCACTAAGATCAGTAAGAATCTTGCTCTTAAATTCAGTAGCCAAAAAAAAGGGGGGGGAGGGGAAAAAGCCAAAATCCTAAATTTTGCCATGCTCCCCATTTAACACGCTGTGGTTCTACACAATTCCTATACAGCAAGCAGCAGCAATCCCTTCCCTTCACTCCAGAAATCGCAAGATGGGAACAACAGTAGTTATGCAAGAGAATCAAATCTGGGCAGTGTGAAAATACATGGCAGTCTGCTGAGTACTTGCAACTCTTAGAAGAATCAAATAAATGTCACATAATTTATGCTGGATATTAGGTGGCTACATTTAAAAAAAAAAAAAAACTGTTTTCAGCTAAACTGTTTCCAGAAATAACAAGAAATCTGCATCATTACTAAACTCACACCATGAAGCCATTCCAGTTCTTGTGATCATCTGAACAAAGGAAGATTTTTCCTCTTCCCCCCCTAGCAGCACTCACACATTAAAAGGATTCACCTCATGTTTTAAGATTACTACTTCAGCATTGGTGTAGTTTTTTTACATAACAAAATTAGTAACAGCTTTCTCAATGTGAAACCCCAGACAAGGGTAGAAGAGAAACAACTTGACTTACATTATATAAGGAATGCAAATGGGTTTAGGGTCAATACGTGAGCTTTTCAGTCTGCCTCACAGCTATCACCTTGATGCACTCACAAATCAAAGTTTCAACCAGAGCTCAGCAACTGAGTCATGGATCTATATTTTAATAAGCACAAGTTTATCAGCTGAGCATACACCAGGGCAATAGGTTTGGACCTTGCACCAGAGCCCTTGCTGTTTATTTAAAGAGCATCCACTGTGTGACAGAGATAAAACACCTAGGAAACATACAAAGCATTGTCAATCTATGTTCTTCCCCTCTGCCCACCCCCAGTTTGGTACAGGTACTGAGGAACTCCTAGGCAGAGGAAGCCCACATGCTGCCACCATGATTCCTACCCCAAATCCTTGACTTGCCTGAGAAGCATGTCCCAGACGTGCTGCAGAACCAGAAACAAGGAGGAACTAATCCCATTGTTTTCATTTTTATTTTTATTCCTGGTTGAACATGAAAATGCCCAATAGATAACCAAAACTAAGAAGACAGGGTAGTTGTATAGAATATCACAAACAAGACAGCAGGGTCTCAAACACATTCTTCTGCTGGAGAATAGAGTTACTACTGAAGTGCACAGTGCCAAAATATCTCGCTTTAAGGGCCAGTGAAAGCCCCAACAGACAGATCTCCAGCATAAAAGACACCAATCAATTCTTCCTGGCCACCTGATCTCTAGGAAAGCAAACAGAACAAATTATTTATTTTGTCGTTTTATTACCCCCACCCCCACCTCTCACAAAGGGATGATGACTCGCATGGAGATCTCAGTGCATTTCACAGCAAAAAAAAAAAAAAAAGAAAAATCAAAATAGTTGTGCATAAATCCAACTTTTTCTTTTGCACAATTTACAGTTTGTGTTGAAAGTTAACATGGTTATTTAAACCTTCTGATGCATTCTTACACTTGTATCTTCTCCGCAGAAAACATCTTACCAGATCACAAAGATGTGAGTTCTCATGAGGATGGATCAGGTGCAGCCATTGCCATGGCTGGGAAGTGGCAGATAATGTTATATACACTGACTGGAAGACTACATCAGAAGAAAAAACAGAGTAAGGCACCACTGTTGGAAAAATTAAGGTAGCTTGTAGTTACAACAATAACGAAAGCCATAATAGGTACTATTCTTAATTGCCAGCAATTTTTAGACCTCAATAAAATAGTTATAAAAAACAAAGGATGTTTGTACCTGAATACAGTTTCCTGATATCTGATTGTGTTTCAAATCAATACCCAGTCTTCAGCATAATCAGCTTTTTGCTTTTTTTTTTTTTATGGTAAGATGAAAAACCAAAGCCTACAGTCCATGTATTCACAGGTCACATTTCACTGCTTTGTTCTGAATAACACCACAGGAGAAAAACCAAAACAATCCAAAGGATAGTTTGTAACACTGATACTTCACCTTTGCGATGATTTGATGGGTAGAGAAGTTTAAATACAAAATTGTGTAGTTTCTGTTCTGTTTGAAAGCCTTAGTCCTTAGAAGGGGAAGGTGGAGGAGAAAAGGCCAAACCTCAGTACATTACAACATGAGAAAAAAAATCAAAGTCACTCAAAGATTTAATAAAATTAGGAGTTGAAAAGTGTTCAAATTACTTTTCCAATTCAAGTCAATTATTTCAAGTATATTAAAATGTTTCAGAGGAAAAATTTCTCCATGGTTACAATTCTAATTGCTTTTATAAATCCATAAAAAAGAAAGGTAGTCTCTACGTATATTCCATATTCCTCCAAAGCATGCACGCATTCTCTCTGAAGAAAAAAGTTGTCACAATCCAGTTGTTTAACACTGATTTCAGGCGTGTCTTCCAAACACCTCTCCAGTTTTTGCCAAAAAAGGTTTAACGCCGGGCATAAAAGCAGCAATTTGTTGTTGCTGTTGTCTACACGGGTACTGAGCATGTTTCAGTTATTAGAGCTTGATGTAGAAAAGAGTTCCCACGTCACTCCAAAAACCAAACAGTTCCTTCTCTTAGGCAGCTTTTGCAATCACACCTATTTAGAAGAATCTTATAGAAGTCGGATAAAATCTTCTGGATCATACAAAAAACAAGTTGGTTGGATGCATCTGGCAAGTTTGTCTCTACCACCTCGTTTTGAATAGCTTTAAAGTGCCCTAGTTTATTTCTTTATGCTCATTTAAGCTTTCACTATTACATAAAAAGGGGACACTCAGTGTGATTACTGTGTTTCGAGAGACAGGGAAAGAGAGAATATCAGAAACAGGAAACTCATCTGTAAGCAGCTTTTCTAGTTAGTGTCCGTTTGCTGAGCTTGCACAGCAGAGACTGCTTTCCAAAGGGGTTTATGATAAACCCAGCCATCTCCCTGCAATTTAAAGAGAAAACACAGTCATAATACAGACACTGCCTCGGTAGAAGTCTCTTCACAGAACTGGTAGACTGATAGCTGTGAAAACTAAAGGGACATAGCTTCTAACTTTAACTCCTACAGACTAAGACAGATCAACTCTGCAGGCTTCTGAGACTGCTTCAGAACATGCACGACTCCCACTGAGCTACAGCGCACTCTGGGAACTGGCTGCACTCGCAATTAACCCAGATAGAAAGCCATTCTTCTCAACTCCACGATCCAGATTTCTTTAAAAAGGCAAAATAAGGCACCAGCAGAGGGGCAGCTATCCAGTGATTATTAACTCTAATACAGCTCAACCGTTTTCTGGGAAATAAGTGGCTCTGGACTACATGTAAAGTTTTCTGGCTAAATCTCTGTCATATTAGTGACAGAAGTCGACCTCATCTAAATCTAGATACTAACAACATAAACATCTAAATCTGAGCTGATCGTGCTAACATAGCTTAAGTCCTACTATATTATTATTACTACCATTACTGCAATGCAGGATAAGCCACTGAACGAATAAGCTCCATCCAAAACATAACGTGCAGGAACAGGAAGTTCAAAATACAGAATAAATTCCTCCTCCTTCCTAAAAATAGTATTTTGCATTTACATGGATGCGACATAAGCACAATTAGTACGGCTGATTCTTTTCCTCAGGTATTTACTGTGGCAGTCTGCTTGTACAGCGCATATATGTAAAGCCATTTTCCACATGCCATGGGGAAGAGCTCAGTAAAAGGGGGAATCACAGAACAGGCAAGTATCTCATTGCACAGTATTACAAAACAAGAGCATTTGGGAAATGAAAGGTAAAGTCACACTTGGCAGCTGGTATGTCACCTTACTCCTCTGGATCCCACGGAGCTAGTCTGTGGGACTCAAGGCCAAATACTCTGCTCTGACAGGACACATACCCACACATTCACTTGCTTTGCCTTTACCTTCATCAACAGCTATCTACTTCGGGACTTACTTCTTTGAGAAAGTATTTAGTACACCAAGGTGTTTCTGTTTCAGCACGAAGCCTCTCTTCGTTCCTCTGTCGCTCTTCAAGGGCTCGCTTGTGCTCTGTAGCTTTATCGATGTCTCCATCCCGCAGAGACTCTGTTACGTGTTGCCACAGCCTCCTACAAACGAAGTTTGTAACTTTAGTTTTCAGAAGTTTTCTCAGTCTGCAGCCTCACACTGCAGAGCAAGATCACTGCACACTCCCCTCCACTTATACAGGACAAACTGACGCAGGACAAAATGTAATGGTGCAGCACAGATGGAAGGGCTTGTGGCCAAGCCTTACATCTGCAGCAGCAGTTTGGAACAGATAGAATGGCTCTGAGGCTTTGGCTGTGCCAGTCTAACATCTGTTTGCCTTTAGAAGCTGATGTGGAAGTGGAATTCAACAGGCAGTTTCTTGGGAGGACCTCCCTTGGCAGGAACTGCTCAGATGCATAGCTGATGGTTAAAAACAAAGCAGATAATGAGGCTTTGCTCTAGCAGCACTTCAACTCATAGGACTCTGTCCATGAACAAAAGGGACAAGGTAAACAACCACATGCCTGCGCGCACTGATTTCTCACCACCATTATGCGCTTAATTTGGGGGGCTTCATTGTTGTTTTGTTTTTAAAAAGCAAATAAAGATCAGTGCTGCTAAGCATTATTCACAAATAATATCTCCATTTGTAGGTCTTCCCAGGGTATTCACCAGACTGCTCAGGACAAAAAGGGTCAGATGGCAATAACCAGATATTTTACCTAGATTCAAATGGTCCTTGCTTCTCAATGGGCCGGACTCGTTTTCTTGTCACCAACAGTTTTGTCAAGTCCACGTGTTTTGTCTCCCCGTTGCTGTAGGTGAACTCGAGCATGCTGTTCCACTCTCCTTGCACTCTGCACACCACTGTGTTTGTCGTGTTCTGCTTCACTTCACCCGTGACTCTAGGGAACGTTAGTTTTTATTCTTAAAACGCCATGGCTAAAGCCACCTTAAGACTATTCATTGCATTAATCACAGCTCCATTCTGAATGAGTTTGTACACTTGTCACACTGCCTTTACAAATGTCAGTTACTTGAATTGCATTTGCATGGAGAAGCTCAAAGAACAAAGTGACTTTCACTCATTGCTCCAGTTCTCTTCATGTTACTCAGGAAACTCAGTTTTTGGCTTCAGCTTAGACTTGTTTCAAACCTTTTAATGGGATTTGAAGTGAAAAAGGAACTAACACAAAGTATATCACATGTAACAAGGAATTGATCATTTCCACTTGAAATACCACATCAGGTATATAGTTCAAATTTTAAAAGTACAAATAAAAATGCAGCTTTCTACCGGGTACTATCGTACTACCTGCTGGCACTTTATTTTATGCCACTGTTCTCCATATGTAAGTGGTCTCATATCTATGTTGCTCATATAAGCATCACACACACAAAGGCAGAAGGCAAGGTAGGAAATTCCACACTACCAGATGAACCAGGATAACAAGGTATTAAAAATGTCTTTCTAATATCCAACATCTCATCCAAAGTCTCGCTCAGATGAAGTTCAAGTATTGCCATAAGCACACACACACATTTTTCTTTTCAACATCAAGACCTGTCCAAAGGCCACCTGACACCCATTTCATCATGAACTGAAGAGCAGAAACTTACAGAGCATATTGCAAATTGCCACGTTCAAGCAGAAGTTGTGATTCTTCCTCCCAGAAAGAGCAAACTATGGTGTTTGCAAACTGTGCAAACAATGCTTTAGACATGCTCTCACTTGTCAGGTGCTGCAAGTTTCAAAGGACACTATCTTCAGCTTCAGCTAAACTCCAATTACCTTTTCACAGCTTCTATAATCATACCTAACTCCACAGCACTGGTCTGCTCTCACTTACCCTGAGCAGCCGCACGTAGAGGAGCGGAAAGCAGCTCCTCTGTGCTCCCACCTTGCCCGCACAACAGCACCAGAAGCTCCGAGGAAGGAGGAGAGCAGCACACAGCTGTGCCACGTTCCATCTTTCATATGCACTGGTCACCTCCATCTGTATCTACCCATCCCCTAGTGCTCAAGCACAGTTTCCTATTACAAAAATTTAAGATTCATTCATGAAAAGAGGACGGAGTTAGTGTAACATGGGCAATAAGAGCACGTTTACATTCAGCTGTTTTTTTTTTTCCTGAAGTTAACAAATGGTAACAGTTTCTGAAAATAACTGAAGGAGCAGGCCACAAGCCAGCAGCCTTCATTTTGTCTTGCTTTCTCACCCTGGGGCTCTCACCCCTCACTGAAGCCCCTTGTCCTCCTTCCTGAAGATCTGCAAATAGGCTGCATCCACAGCACGGCAGAGACCTGCACGTCCAGGCTTTGCACTTATATCTCCCCAGGACTGAGCTTTTCATCTTTCCAAGTGCTGTGTGGTGACACTGACAACCCAGTACTTTATTAGCAGTCATAAAATTGCTGCCTCTACTTAGCTTAAAGCAAATAAGGTTTTATCACTCGTGCAGCATTACAAGGTGCAGCGCTGAGCAGCTAAATGAAACTTATTGTGACCTCTATTTCCTCCCGTTGTGTTACTCTATGGCATACAGCCATTCCCAGCATTGCAGATCATGATTATCTGCCTGAACTAATGGTGATTAAAAACCTGGTAGCGTTTATTGGATAACTTGGCATGATTGCTATATGCCTAGTTATTACTAAATCCTCAGTTTCAGCAAGCTAAAGGGGTGCAGGACCAAGGAGCCGATACCTAGCTGAGCTCTAACAAGGGTCACTACAAAAATCTGTAACATTGCCATGGCAACTCACTCACGTTCTGCATAACCATGACAACGCCTGCTGCCTCCCCATCAAGAGGTTCCTTTTGGAAATGTCCACTCATAGCCATGTCACATTTCCAGTAGTTACAGCACCTTGAACAGATCTGGCCAAGAAAGCCTCTATATCCACGAATCATTTCATCAACACAAATAACAAAACGTTTTCCAAAGCCAAGTCATTGAAGTAAAATTCATGGCTTACTTTTATGGCATAACAGAAGCTATTGAAAAGGTGGAAGGCATAGGCTAAACAGTGGAAATAAGGATCCCAAATGATACATTTTTACTCTGTTTCAAGCATGATGCTTTTTCATCACACAAGCTTCAGTTCTCCAGATGCCACTGGGATAGGGAGCTATGGCTGCAAGCTGAATTCAAAACAGTGTATCGGAGTCTAAAGGGCAAAGCAATTCAAGTCAAATCCTTCTTTCACCAGTTAGTCTTTAAACATGGCCATACATGAAGAATGAAGAATTCCTGTTACAAGAGCTATCATTCTGGTCTTTGAAAACAAAACAGAAAAAAAACAACAGAATTTCTACCTAGAAGTTCTCCTTATGTTGCTTAAATTTGATAGGATTTAAGCGTAAGAAGCATAAGAGAAAGACCATTAACTAACAGAAGACTATTTACTAACATTTTCTGTGGTATTTTTACCTTTTCATTAAATGCCACCTGGAGACTCGTTCCATATGACAAGTAACACTGCTGAGGTATTCAGTGAGGAAATACAAGGCAATACAACTACAAAGCACATCACAAACACATAACCCTTTATGATACTAGGATCAACCTCATTTCAAACAACATGCAAATGGAAAACCAAGAAATACTAAGCAACGTATGTCAGTATTAAGAAATCTGCAGGCAGCCAGGAAGAAAAGCCAGGAGCCCTGTTTTCCCAAGAGTCAGACAAACATGGAATTCCCTTACTGCCTCTACATACAACCTAACTTTTCCTTGAGGACCACAAGAAGCAGGGATATTATTTAAGACCACAGTGATACCTCAAGTATTCATGAGCAGCAAAACCAGCTAACTCTCAGACTATCAAAACACTGTTACTCAGCACCCAGAACAGGGCAGTTGCATAGCTACCAGAGTTCTAGAACACAAAACTATGTAGAAAAATAGGGGGAAAAAAAAGAAGCGTCCTCACCGATGCAATTTGCCACCATACAAGGGCTTGGTGTGGAAGTTGATACTTGCAGAATAGCCAGTCTTTGCACAGTTGATGTTGACTTTTCCTCCCAGTTCTACCCAGGGAACGGTTAAAATTGATCGAGCGTATGCACAGGGCAGAGAGAAAGTATATTCCTCCTCATGTTCCAAGAGACTTAAGAGACCTGTGTGAAGAAATTTAGGACACCTTAAATTAGCACCATTTTAGAAATGATCGAGTTAATGATTGAAATATATCCAATACTGCATCTGACTACATTTCCTCACAGACCCCTCACACAAATGACATTTATTACAGATTCAGGAAAATGTTTATACATGTAGATAGAAAGTACTAACCTGAGTACTACAGCATTTCAAAAAAGAAAAATGCATTCATCCTAACAATATTGATCTATAAAGTACAATACTGTGCTGTACAACATACTCTTCAGTCATATGTGAAAGGGCTGTTGCTGTCTTAAGAGCAGTTCCAGAACACAGCAACACAAGATTTACGCTGCCAAAAGGAAATAATGAGTGAGTACCCTGAGCTGCAGTTCTTGAGGGAGGGTAATATTCCTGTTCCATTTCCTCTCTACTTAATAGATCCTACCCTATCTGAAGGCAGGTAGCAGAGAATCTTCCCTGCTACACTTACCTGCCAAGATAAACTCAACTCTTTCCTGACAGTAGCTTTTGCAATAAATGTCAAGAATCTCATAAAAACTAGAATTTTTCTTTGGGCTTTAAGATACATGGTTTGGTTTGAGTCCTACCAAAAAAAAAAAAAAAAAAAAAGACACCACACAAAATCTACCTCTCAGCATTACAAACTCATAGCATAACAACTGACTGCTGTCTGCATCGACCATGCCTCTGCAGCATGCCATCTCTGTGCATCTCTGACATTACTTTTCTGAGTTTCTCTTGTTTTTCATATTCGTGACATGATTTGAGAAATACCCTAGAGGAGACATGAGCTTGTGAAGTTACCTGCTACAGGTAAAGCATCGAGATGTGCTTTCCACATCTCCTGCCGTGCTCACTCTCTTGTCAGGTAGGCAGTTTGCAATTAAGTGCCTGCCTCCTCACCCCCAACTCCCCCCCAGTGGCTGGGCAATATACACGAGGAGCACAGAGTGGGCAGTGATGTCTCATCTCTTGCAGGAATTACTACCACTAAATGGAAATTAGAGTTACCCTCCTCTGTCCCTAACAGATCCAATTAAAACTTAAATAGTAAGATACATAAGAGCAATACTTGCAAATGAATAACACTCCTATTTAATAAATATCTGATGGAAGTTAATTCATCCAATGCTTGGGAACATTCACAAACACCGATTTGCAGTAACTGCCCTTTGGTTCAAAATTCAAAATTTTATTTCCATATACAATCCTGATTTTGGCAAAGAGTAAACTTACTGTAGTGTGTCATCCCCCCTCTCTCCACAGTATGAAAACCTGCTGCTTATAATGAGAGCTTGTGGCATCTTCTGTGCTTTGTAAAGTACTAAATCACCAAACGGCTGTACATTAAGGCTCTCAGATCTGAGATTAAAGGAGAACCAGAAGTACAAGAAAAAATGAATACCCACAACAGCAACTGACACCTCCGCAAACAGATTTTTCTGAAAAGTCTTTGAAACAAAACTACCAAGCAGCATTCACTTGTTTTGTGCCTCTGGCAAAAGTACATCAAGTTTTTCTCTCAAATTAGCATTTTTAACAACATTCTAAAGTGAAAAGGAAAAACATTACGCTTACCCTCACCAACCATTGTCACTCCTATTGACATTCCTAAGAATTTACTTTTTGTCCAGACGTGAGCATTGACACACATCTTCCTCTCCACACACTCAGCATAAAACCCTGAGACGGGAGGATGGTGGGACACTTGCTCAGCCACAAATTTTACTGTATAGTAGTCCGACTCTGTTTGGCCTTCCAGATCTTTAGACAGAGTTACTTGCTCTGAGGGGGAGTGAGCAGGTAAGTTACTGCCAGTGTCAGCAGCTACTTCACTCTTCGGCATCCTCCAAGAGCAGTGAAACGTTTCCCCGATGATGGGATTGTACGGTTTCTTGGCGATAGCTCCTTTGCGACCTTCGTGAAACGAAGTTAGATAATACTCAACAAAGCGGATCATCCTCTCCTCGGGGGTGGTGCCGTTTGTGATTGCAATGAAGAGATCCGGGTGGGACATGAAGTCCGCATACATCTCCAACAACGATCGCTTCTCTAAAATAAAAGTAGGAAGAACCACCTGAAATAAAACAAAACCCCAGAACACCTCGTAAGTGAAATGAAGAGGCAGGCATTTTTATAAGTGAAGTTTTCAGGTGTCAGTTTTCATTCCGTCTTGCTTTGGACACTGCACTTTCAGACTGAACCTTATTGTCCCTCTTCAAAGGTATGAGGGAAACAGAGCTGATCTGAGGTCTCTAAATTAATTTACAAGGAAAAAAGAACATAATAGGTACAATTAGGACAGAAGTGTTTGAAAGGGACTGAGCACCCCTAGCATAAATAAATCAACTGCAAAGAAAGAGATAATGTGTTCCACATGTCTGCAGAGGAGAAAACAAGCAGGAAGGAGCTCAAACTATACCAAGGAAGGTTCAGAATAGAAGTTATGAAAGGTTTTGCCTAATGGAGAGAAAAGCATGCAAGCTATGCCAATATGCTTGACAGCCTGCAGAGTCTCTCACCATAGAAAATAGGACAACCATCAATCAGAAATTAACTTTAAATTAATCCTTTACCTTTGAGCAGAGGATCTTATAACTTCCTCAAATTTATCCACCACGACAAAAAAGAAGTGATATCTCTTGCTGGGCCATGAAAATATTTTAAAGAAAGAGGCTATATCAGTCTTTTCCTTCCCCGTAGTGGCAACTAACCTCATGTCATTTACTCTGTTGTAACGAGCAAGACAGGGTGTCTCAACCATGAGATCCAACAGTCCATTTAAATCAGCTTCATTCAAAGAGGTGTCTTCACACTTCAGTTACTTACTCTTGTTAAGTCCATGCCAAGTTTCAGCTGAGACAAGAGATGCAAGATAACACTGCGCTGCTCCTCCACTGCTCCCACGTTATCTTCTTTATCATCACCGATATCCTCCAGCTCCTCATCTGGATTTATTTCTTCAGGTTCCTGCAATAAGAGCCATAAACATCAGCTCAGAGATGGGGCTGTCCACACAGTATCTGAAAAAGGATTCCATATTGTAATTATCCCTGCATGATAAAAGAGACTAACCAAATCCCTGCAAAGACCTACAGAGTAGGTCTTAGGACAAACAGCTGGAAGAAGGCAGATGCAGAGGGGAGATGCACTGAATGCCACCAGAGGGCAGTGATATGCATCTGCCGAAAGGCAGACCTCCCTTGGTCAGCTGCCATCAGCTCAAGGCAATTTGTTGTCACACCCAACCATGACAGAAAACACCAGGGTCCACAACATCGTGCAGAGCCCATAACCTGATGGAAGACGCAGTATCACACAGGTGAGTCCTTTTCAAGGATACAACACCATTCTGCTATCATAAATAACAGAGCTGAAAATATGGAGTGTGATAATACTAGGCATATCCCAACTACAGACAGGAGCACACATTCAGCACTTGGCCTTACTAGAACGGTTCGGGTTGGAAGGGACCTTAAGAATCATCTAACTCCAACCCCTCTGCCATAGGAAGGGATGCCATCCACTAGATCAGGTTGGCCAAGGCCCCATCCAGCCTGGTATGAACTCCCTTCATTATTATAAGAAGGAAGGAATCAAAGTGATAAATTTGAAAGCTCTTCGTTTGTTTGCTTTTTGTTTGTGGGTGTTGTTTTTTGTTTTTTTTTGTTTGTTTGTTTGTTTTATATTTCATGACAACTAGTCTGAATTATTTAAAAACATATAAACTATGGCAACTGAAAAATCTTCAGGTTTTATATTGCTAAAAGATAGCAAAGTGAAACATGCTGCTGCAGGGGCATACAACAGCGCATTGCCTTTTCATAATGATACAGTCTTATGCAAAGAACTGTGTGAAAACAACTGGTATAGAAATAACGTAATTGTGATTTTCTACCTCAGTTGGGAAATCATGTTCTTTTTAAATAATCCTGTTCTTTTACTTTAGTATTTTGCACTTCATATTCTTTTTGACAGTTATAATGATATAGGCTATAGCTGTATTTCAAAACAGTAAGCCATCCTGAAGTCAAGTGATGAGAGTTGCTCAGATTAAAAAAAACAGATGCAGTAAGAACTGGAAAAGAAGGACAGGGAGATTTAATAGCTGGAGACTGGCAATTTTGTCTCTCATCTACTTAGGCAGCTCTTCTTGGGTTTATTTTGAGAGCATCATGAATTCCAATTAGTTTTTTTTGCACTTCAATTTCCAGTTGTTTTAGATCAAAATGCGAAGGAATAGTGCCTATTTCAACCCCTTACATTACCCTCCCAATTGGCTCCCTCTTTTTGACAGCTTGTTCCAGAAAGCAGCAAAATGTATTGAAAAAGCAAGGTATGCAACTTTAATTTACTGCAACTCCACTCACTCGTCCTCTAAACCAACTAATTGAAAAGCATAAGAAGAACTGTATTTAAATCATATTCACATAATATGATCAAAACATTTACAGATATTCCTCAAAATAATTCCCCACAGAAAGAGGATTTTCACATTACCTTACCCTTGTTAGCTGGCAGGGCTCTGCGATGCACTGCTCTTCTCTGACAGATGCTGGCTTGTTTATCTCTGCTGGGAAATTCTGAGCTGCTCCATTTTTGAAGTGGTTTGAAAGAGGTATCTTTGGTTCCAGCCAATTGATCGTTGTTCCTGAAGCAAAAGAAAGTTTGCGCTGAAACTTGTTCATCCTCCGGAAGGTCAACAAACAGCAGTTTTCACAAAACAGCTTTTTGAAGAAAAAGCTGAAAGCAGATCGTTCCTTCTGCAGCCAATCCCTTCAGCAGCCACCGAACAAAGGTGGTGCAATGAGACACCACCTCCAGTGATCATTAGCACAAACCCTGCGATTGGCGAGCTGTAATATGTGCAACTTGTACTGGAGGAACTAGTTGGTGTCAGGCAAGGTGTAATCAGACACTTCAGGAAGAACCCAATATCACCCGAACGTAACCCTGACAGTTTTCTTGAACTGGAAGTAAGCGGTGCACTTTTTTGTACCTTCTCAAACCCAGCTCGATTCTAGACTAAAAAAAGCTGGAGCAGGAAAAGTTTCACTGCCAATGTTTTCTCTGGAGAGGGCAGTCGCCTTTTCTTGGCTGCAAAGGAGGCAGGAACACGCTGTTGAATAAATAATAGGTGCTTAAAAAAAGCTGCAGGGCTTGGAAAGCTATTACCCACTCAATGATTCCAACGTCTCTAGTTACTCCCAGCTAATTTATCACAATGGATCAAGTTCCTCATCAATAATGCAAATGTTCCATTCTTTTTCAAAGGCTAATAAGTGTCCAGGTGACTCCAGTAGGGTTTGATGAAGAAAAACAAACTGTGACAAGCCATCTCGGTTAGGTTGCAAACACAGAAGTTATTAGGAAGCCAGAACTTGTAGCACCAATAGAGCAGCTCCCTGGGCTTAGGAACCACCACCAGGAAGGCTGCTGTCCCTTCCTATGTTATCCACAGTCCGTCCTTTCCAGAACTCTGTTGCCTGCAGGTCAGATCCTCAACCACCACTGAGTAAAACCAGATAAACAGCAGCAGTTCCACCAGGAAAGTACTGGGACAGAAAAAGTACAGCTTTGCTAATGGTACCAGCAGACTTCTCCTCAGCAAGGGAGCTTATTTCCACCAATGAATTCACTATCAGAAGTGAGAAACCCTCGGTTTAAGTTTTAGCCTGAACACAAGTTTCAAAGAAGTCAAGGAAAGAGATGTTCAGAATGACACTGACACCTTTTTGAAAAGGCTTTATTCATTTTAAAATCCCTTCATGAAGAACCCCTGCTCAGAACCATCACTTTCAATGTAAGAATCTCTAAATGCATGTTCTAACCTGCATTTAATGCACACTCAGTGACTATATATTAGCTTGAATTTAACAAGTGTTCCTCCTTTTATGCTCCCTATCAGCTTCTTCTAAAACGACCTTCTTTGTTATTAAGTTTTGTTTAATTTCACTGTAAAAAAAAAAAAAACTCACAGAATTTAAAAGTGACTTGAGATACTAATTGTGCTTCAGTGATGTAAACAGACAAGATATCACACTAACAACTCTGCCACTGGAAGACCATATTCAAATCTGTTCTCAACTACTGCAGGTAGCACAAGCTCTTCTCTTTTCTTGTGATTTCCTCATTCCCTACAACTCTCCACCCTCCCCCCCCCCTTTTTTTTAAGCATTTCTCAGCATGTCCCCTCTGCTACAAGATGGACATTATGAAGCTTATAGCAGTCTTCTCTTTCAATATTTTTATTTGAGTTGCAAATTGTTATTGCCATTCACATTTATGATAATTTTTTTTTTTTAAAATCCTATACATTTCGATCATTTAACTTCTACATTCAAGTCAGCCTTGCCATTCTTCTTTATGTCTGATTTTTGGTACACCTTGATGCAGTTGGGCTAATGCTGGTTTTAATTTTTTTTTCCTTCTAAAATTTCTGCAAACCAACACTCTTACATAACTTCTAATCCTTGTGTTTTAAGCTTAACAAGCACTTGCCCAACACATTCCTAGCAGTCAAGTACCATTTTATCAGACCTGGAAATAAATTTAAACTTGAAGTGGAAAAAAGTATGCTCTGTTACACAAGTTCCCTCTTCATCATCGCTCCTTGCTGCATCGCACTCACATCTAGTGCAGCATGCTTTCTGATCCTAGGAAGATTAAATAGTGCATGTATATATTTTATTAGATAGTACAGTCTACATTCAATATTTTTTCCTACACATTAATATAAAAGTGCTTTGAATTAACATAAATGAGCATTTGAATTAAGCCACAGTTCTTTTCCTTTCTATATGAACTTCTGAGGACTCCACTTCTCAAACCAGAAGGATAAGTACCTCTTCTGACTTTTGGGGGGTAGGAAGGGGAAGGAGGAAGGGTAAATCTAAGCTAAAATGGACAACAACAAGAGTGGAGAAAAAAAATTAAGTTGTTTTGCAATTGTTAAAGGGGACAAAATGCATTATGGTGTATCTCTAGAAACGCCACACCAGTGACAGAGTGGAATTCTGCAGAAAAACAGTACACATGCTTTTATGTTCACTTTTTAACTCCAGCCTCAATTATGCATCATCCTATTTGCTGGTCCTCCCCACTCCACCCATCTCTAGGATTTAGCTATAACTTTAGCTTTGACTATTTAACAATATAAATCCTTTATTTCATGATAAAAGCTAAATTAATTACACCTTTGAACGAATATGCATTGGCAAAGCAAGTACTACAAATATGGTAAGAATATGGGAAAGGTAAGAGACTAATCATGAGTGTACTTTTTGGCATACTTACCATGTCTGACATATCTGTTGTATAATACAAGCATGAGTATCCACAAAGCTTCTTGTTTACAAAAAGGCACTGAGTAAGCTCTTGTAAATTCTTTGCATCTTATTGCGATTTTTCAAATAGAAAAGCAGACGCTCAGTTCTGTATGCTGCACAGAAATTTGGTGGCACAATTCTAGTAAGCACCTATTCGCTTTAAGCTAATTGACCGTGCAGGCATAGCAACATACTAGGCTTTGGGTTTTGTGGTGTTGTTTGGTTTTTTTGTTTGTTTGTTTTGTTTTTTGTCATTTGTTAGTTGTAGTGTGTTCCTTTTGTAGGTGGTAGTTTTTTTTGTTGTTGTTTTAAACTTTAGCCAATTTGCATTTGCCTACAGGGCTGTCCACGCCTCAGAAAGGAATTCAATATTTTAGTTCGCGTCTTAGACAAGTATGTTAAGCCAAAATATGAATATTGATACCTAAACAGTATTAGTAATATCCCATGCAAATTCAGAGCTTTGTATTTGAATGCCTAACTAGAAATGAAAGCTACACACATGTAAATGCTTAAAATAGGCACTAAGTATGCAAAAAAAGTCAGAAGAGCATGAGATTCAGCAGAGCTCTGCTGGACAACACATATCCTTGGAGTCTGCAATCCCATGAAGTTCCCCCTCCACTATTACTGTTCCCAAGCTGCCAGTTACATCCCAAAGGCAGCCACCTTTTTGTTGTGCCTTATGTACTTCTTTCTGTTGTGAGATGATCCACAGCAATTAGAACTAAAGAAATCCAGAGAAAAAAAAAAGGAAAATATTCACAAGAGTTCTAAACAATACCAGTAAGTCAAACTCTACAAAAGCTCAGAAGAAATGAGGCAGGCAGCAGTTTTATCTGCCCATAGGAAACTGGATTTAGTGGAGCAAGCATTTTTCACAACTGAAGAAGGAACGGCTTCTTGTCTGTGATAGGGTCCAGCTCTCCGTGAACATCTATACCCACCTGCTGGTAAGGATCCCTTTTGTTGTGAAGCATGTTGTAACTGGAGAATATGGAAGCAGTCATTTAAGCAGTTCATGGTTGCCATGGAAGTTGCTTTGAGCATTAATAGGTCTTGATCCAAGGACGTAAGGTGACCGGAGACAGGAAGGCATTCTATGCTCCTGATCAAGTCTCTCTGTTGGCCCTCAGCCTGAGACATCATCTACCAAACAAAGCAGGTATTTATCAGAAGGTGCTGGAAGCGTGCTGTGTGATGTGGCAGATGCACACAGAGGAACCCAAATGATTTTAAAATGATAAAACTACCAGGTAATAGGTGTATATAAATTTAACCATATTTTGTTTCTTCTTGAAGCCACTAAAACATCATTAAATACATGATAAAATAAGCACTAAAATACGTGGCACCTTGTTAACGAGCAAAAGAGTATTACAGATTCTTTGGTAACATATGTAAGTGAAGCGGAATCGGAACACAGTACTTGCTACAGTATACAGCAAATACTGTCAGGCTTGGCTGGTAGGGACACACACGTGAAAAAAAACAACACTTCACACACACCATGTGAAGAATAATTAAGCTCTGTGACCTGCTCAGCCTGCAAGAGAACCTTAGATCCTTTCCATGGGTACCCAGATCTTTTCCTTCCCTACAAGAATGGATCCAGCCTTCTAAAGAAAAAGAGCTCTACCACTCAGTTCAGTTCAAACTGCACAGGATTCTCCTTTATCAGCAGCACTGCCATTATGCTTATAGGACCACTATCTCACTGTTTACTCTGCAGAGGGAGTAAAAAGAGTGGCAGAATTGTCACCTTAATTACATGTTGAAATTACAACTTTCCTGTTGTCATTTTTGCCCTTGTTCTCCCTTCAGTCCCTTTCCTGCTTCCTCTGGAACATCACAGAACCTGCAACAGCACATTTGCCTGCAAGAGGTAGATCTGTAACGCACACCAGCTATCAAACGTTAGTCTTCAGAAGAAAATATATTATTTGAATTCCTCTTTGAGCTTACAGAAGCAGAAGATTGCCTGACTTTGAATCATAGGGATGAAAGCAGACTCCTCTACCTGCTAGTCACTCTTCTGAGGAGGAACAACAAACAGCATTAATGCAACTGGATACCGCTACCCCTGTGACCATTATGCATTCTGGCAGGCAAGTTAAACATAAAAACAGATTGATTAAGCAGAGCAGAAGAAGGATTTCTTGAAAGAATCCAAGATGCATTCATGCATTTAACTGCTACGGTACTATTTAGGTTTTTAATTTAGCAATTCTGGCAGTATTTCACTATTTTTGCTGTACTATTGCCTGCAATCTCCTCCAGGAACTGCTTTTATGCTTTTAAGGTTTTACACTACTCAAGCAATAGGTATTCATCCAACTTCACGGTATGTGGTATTTGGAAAATTTATGGGCTTGGCTACAGAGCACGCTACGGCGTGAATTTGCATATCACTTGGCTCTTTGGAAGTGCAGTTCACTGTGCACATTCAGACTGAGCCTGTCCCAACTGTCACAGTGCAGAAAGCTAGCAAAACCGTGATGTTTTGCATGGACAAGGCTGTGTACCTAGCACAATACTTGCCTTTTTTTCCAGTCATAAATGCAATTCAAGTCTTTGTCTTTTTTTCTAATGTTTTAAAAACTTCTGCTGGGTTAAGAAAAGGACACAAAATTGATTGACAAACAACCACAGCCCTTTTGGTGACCTTTGCTCTTAAGTCATTCACCATGCAGTAGTGCCCAAGTGCCTCATTCTAGGTTCAGGTCACACAACAGGACAACCCATGCCATATTCAGCACTAACATCCAAACAGACACATCTCCCCTTTCACAGAGCATACTTCAAGCAATCCCAAATCCTTCCTGCTTATTCGATCAGATCTGTATAAAAAAAGAAATGGTGCTGGGGGTGGGAGAGAGAAGCACGGCTGTTGAAAACTGGATGTCAGAAGCATGCAAGCTATAGCTCTCATTTTGCAAATGCATGCACCTGTATTTACTCAAAGTCAGCACAAAGATCCTCTCAAAACTCCTGTTTTGCAAGGTGTTCTTTTCAAGTCAGCAGCATGACATGTACTCAGTCAAGAACAAGGGAAAGGAACTGACAGAAGAACCAGCTACAGTGCAACTCATGGGCAAATTAAAGAATCACCCCGCAGCAGGTAACTTGAAAGAGAAGGGTTCTTCCCATAGCTTCTCAAACTGCACTTGCAGTATTTGTGCTGTATGATGCTCAAGTGTAACAGGCACGCACCTGCCCTTTGTAATTTCAAGTATTTTAACTGCATCTAAAAAAAAATCGTGGGTGTTGTATCCAAGCATTTTATCTTCAAAATGGTAAGCAAACTAACTGACATTTACAAGGGGTATCATTACTGAGCCTTGTCTGTACAGGTCAGAAATTAAAACTGATACATAATGATATTGTGTCACTAAACTCAGTAACAAAGTGTTCCGCACTCTTCAATGTTAAGAAAATTCACTCCACTTTACTCTGAGAAAACCTCCATGGTGAGAATCCCAATTACAGGACACAAGGCACTGCTTCAGTGCTCCAACTCACACACTCTCCTCTTTCCTCCCTCGAATTTAGAAAGCTGTATTGCCATCTGAAAAGTGAAAAATGTATTTCTGAAGCAAGTCCTCACCCTTCTAATTATCCATGCTTGCCAGACACTTCCTCGCTAAATTAAAAAGCCTGCCATTAGAGACTTTTTGTTTTACCAAGGAATGCATCATGCTATGCTAATTACTCTGCTAACATTAAAATATGCATTAATAGCAAAACTGCTACAAAATCACACAGGTCCACAATTCAGCAACTAACTGTTTTAGAAGGAGCTTTATATTTGTACACTATCAATACTCATGAGTTAAATCAACCAACAGTCAGTCCATTCTGTCAGACAAGATGGACAGGTAACCTCCATTCCAGGAGGAATGATAATAATCAGGTAATAATCCCCAAGAGATATTACATCTGAATGTGAAGTGTGGAAAAATGTGTATTTCTAAATTGCTCATTTTCTTTTGCTCTTTTTCAAATCACATCCATCCCTGGACGTGAATTAGCATACCAGATAGCAGTACTAGTATTCTTAAGCATCAGTCATGACCAATTTCTCTTTAGCCATACAAAGCACAAGAACAGCATAGCCAATTCTTCTGTAACTCCAAGGAAGAGCTCAGTAAGTGACGTAACAGTTAAACCCTCATTACCTACCCTGCTAGGACTTGCAAAAATCAGAATACACAAGTCCATTTTGAGCACAAGGATACTATTGCAGAGCGTGAAAGTCACAGACCATACACCACATACCACTACAAGCCAGGGCAAGTTAACCTCACACAGCTATGCAGTAATAGTTTGGGACATACAACTGACAATGTAAATGTCCAAATAAGAATAGCAGGCTTCTCCACAATCCTAAATATAAGATGATAATTCCTTCAAAAGATCATTAGGTAATTTAGAAGACAAACCTCTCGAACATCTACAAGGTGATCTGGCTGCAGAATAGGAACTCTTTTTCCAGTTGACAATCTGTGATGTCCAACATTGAAAAAAGAAACTGCATTTTGACTGGGTCTTCTTTGCACACCAGGAGAGCTGCCACTTCCTTGAGATGCAAGAGAGAAGCTGCGAGATTTCAGAGGAGGGTTGTTCTAGTGAATAAATAAGCATATGAAGAAAGAGTTACTTCCTAATAATCAGCAAATATTCTGATTTGAGCTGTACAGCAGAACATTTAATTCTAAATTTGTATAGAGCAAGGACAGATGACAAAGTCATAGTAATGTACTGGCAGCAATCTCTAAGTAGAGTATTTTGAATCATCTGTTGACAGTTGCCCTGTTTTACAGTCTAATTATAAACAATCAGTGAAATGAGATGGATCGATACTTTTCACTTCTGACTGGAAAATTAGCCCTTGATCTGCAACAGTTCTAGAAACTGACAGCTAATGGATTCTGCAAGGATAGAGTTCACATTTGAGAGAACGGAATTTCATTCACAACTATTAATTGAAGTAAACATCAACTCAGGGTCAACCTCTTGTAGCTTGTTCTATCTTAAAAGCATGATTTTATACAGCTACAATATAGGTTTTGTGGTTACCAAGAGTTTCAAAGTCTAGTCTAGTCCTCTGACCTTTAAGCTCCGCTTCTTTATCAAACACCAGCTGACCAGTACCTGGTCAGGGAGGGTTAGTCAGCGCTTCAGTGCAAAGTGACTTCACTTTGTCTCATTCCTAAAGCATACTTCTATTACAAGTTAGCTATTACTCAGAGGATTTTTTCTTGTCATGAGTTTCAAGCAAAACCACACACCCTTTTTCTAGTATTTGTCTTAGATAACAGAACAGTTCGTTTGCAACTACCTCTACCACCACCCTAAATTATTTTTGCCCAAGAAAATATCAATCATACAATACCTTTCCAATAGCTTCTGTGTGATGCTGTGTGCATATTTGTAGCCTGCTAACCCAGTGTTGCCGTTCTTTAGCATCAGTAGCTGAAAAAAGCAAACCAAAAAAAATTACCTACATGAAGACATTTTAAAGTATGTGCAAAAAACTGCTCGATACTTCAAAATAGACACGGACATTAACAGTACAAAACTTTTTTTGTTCTAAAATTTGCTCAGCTGATCTGTAATTAGCTATGACATTAAATCACGTTCAACAGAATTAGCAGGTACTTTTTTTTTTATTTTTGTAACACAGAAAGAACTGTAACACAGAAATAACTTCTGTATATAAAACTAAAATAACTTCAACAATTACTCCCTACACACATTTTAATTTAACAACGTGCCATATTTTCCTGGAAGCAGAATAAGGTGCCCTGAATTTAAAAAAAGACAGCGTATCTTCAAAGAAAGAAGTACTAAAAGATATTAGCCCGGATTTCAACAGCCTACAAAATCAGAGAATGGGCTTCACTAACTGCCACAAGAAAACTACCATATAAAACATTAGGAATAACATAATCCTTTACAAGTTTAAACTCAGTAATGTTACCTACAATGAATTAGAAAACTCTGCATCAGTACAATTTAAAGGACACTATACACGAAGATTAAACCCCCCCCACCCTACACATCTCAAATTTGTGGTCTTCTGGGCATCATCAAGCCCAAAGAGTATGGAACCATCCGTACAGAAGGACAGCTCTTAACTAACTGAAGAGCAGGCTGAAAGTTTCACACACAACACTCATTACAGCAGTCAGTCAAACAAATTCTTTTGCTTTTGGACAGGCAGCCAAGCCCAGAGCGGCAGCCACAGGTGAGAGCCAGGAGTGCCTCTAGTGGAAGAGTCCCCTGGCCAAGAACAGAGGTCCTACCTCTTAGTTTATACTGCTCCCCACTGGCAGCATTGACTGTAAAGGTGTGAGAGTCTTCATCACTGGGCGAAATTACAGCTCCTGCCAGCTGCAAGGTACCCCTGGGCTTCAGATGTCTTGACTGCTCATTCACAAAGTACTCCAGTAGGCCAGCATCATTGTTTAAAACAAAAAATCTGCAATGGTGATAAAGCAAACACACAAAACAAAGTCAGCATTTTCCTCTTCTTTTAAGAAGGGAAGGTGAGAACAGATATAATGAAAGTCTTGATTTCTCACAAGTTCACAAGAGACTGGACTGAGACTTAAAAGACTTGTGTCAGTACAACCCCAAACACATGAAATATTTTCCCAACGTCTGCAGACAAATTAAGTTTGTACTAAATTTTTCTCAAAGATTGGGATGGATTTCTATGGAACAAGAGAACAACTGTGCTCACAGAAGAATACTACTGCAAGATTTTGAGACTTAACATTTTTTTAATCATTTTTTAACTTCTTAATCATACTTTAATACAAATATTATTCATCTACATGACAGCTCAACCTATATAGAGAAAAGGATTAAGACACTTTCATCAAGTTTGCCTAAAACAGTGGATTTTCCCATTTTCTACTTAAAAAGATTGAAATGCACTCATTTAGGCAATGCCAAGAGTCTTCTTTTTTACTAAAAACCACGAGGGGAAAAAAAAAAACAAAAAACTTACCGATATTGCCAACCAGTGACAAGATTGGTGTATTTCATTAAGTAGCCATAAATATTTTCCATGTGATCACTATCACAAAAAGAAAAAGAAAAGCAATCAGATAATATCAAGTAGTAAAGCTTCAGTTTCTAAGCATCATTATCTATTCCCTGAAAACTAATTTTCACCTTCATTTTTTAGAGCGGCGCTATCTTTAAAAGAAAAAAAAAAAAAAAACAAAAAAACAACTACCAATACTTAACAGATTTGAATCTCATTTCTGAGATTATTTCATAAGACAGTTTAAATGGACTTACTGAACTCCAAACAATTTCCAGGCATAATTAGTTTCATCAACACTTAAGATTCATTCAACAGTCACTCTGGCGTAGTTTCAGGTAACTATAGACACATACTTGTTTTGTGTTCCCCCATTTAAGTAAGCTTTGTAAACAAAATTAATTTTCTTTAGCTTATTAAGAGAACCTCAATCATGGTCACTAGCCAAAACCTGCTGCTGGGTACTCCTATGCATGGTTCTGCTCGGCCTTAATTTCCAGAATCCTTCCAGACCGTACAGGTGCTGTGCAGAAGACAACATGCATGTACAGGCCATATCAAGATATTCTGAAATATAAAGCAAGCCTGAAATGTCTCCTTCTCTGGCCTGGCAGGAAAATCCAGTTGTTTCGAAGCCTGAACTTGCAACACCCACCAGAACTAAGAACCCACAAGGGGCATGTAGTGTGGAGACTTAACATCGCTACAGACAACATACATTAGTGCTTCTTAAAATCCATTGTCCAAAGAAAGGTTTACAAGTCTTACGGCAACAAACTAATCTCCTTAAAACCACAGCTTGAAACTCAACTTTATAGAGCACATTCCCGTAACTGTAGAAATGCTGCTGTAATGAACCCAACTGGTAGAGCGGAGCACAGTCCTATAGCAAAATGAGCACTCTGAGACAGGTACAATGTGAGAAGTTCCTATTTTATCCCAACAAAGAACTGAAACAACAACCCAAACATCAGACTCTAACCATTTGCTTTTTAAAAGAATCTTACATTTAAGCTATCTTATTAGATTTTAAATGTTCTGTAGCTTGCAGTATATTGAAGATTAAGGGAAAATTATTCCGAGTCCATAGGAGCAGCAGCCTGTGCCAGTCATTAGGTGGTCAAAGTGCCCCCCTATCAGCAAGGGTGGAAATGTGGGGACACACGGGACTGCTAGAGCCAGGGGAACACCTCCATTCATGGATTTTGGTCCCAACACAGTTGGACTAAGTATCGGTGGATGTGTTACAGAACAGCTGAAGCTGCTGCCCATGCTTCATTTCGAAACAGAGGCAGTTTCTCCAGAGTACACTTACTGAGTTGTCAGGTTTTTGAAGAAAAACCAAGTAGCTGATTTTTCACATTACATTTAAAAACAGCAAAACGCATCCACTAGCTGTCAGTATGACAGTACTGCCCTGCAATGGGAAGCAGCCAGTGGGACTAGCTAGGAATTTAATTAGGAATAGCTCATTAAGCAGTACTATGCAGACAAAAACAAACCCCAGGAGAGCAGACAGCATCTTAAACTCATAAAAATGCTAAGGAGACATGACCAAACACATCCCCATCGGTTGTTACTGCGCACAAGTGAAGCGCAGTTTAGACTTATTCATCGTCACAATTATGCCGAGAACTGTGAGATTGCAGTCATAAAAGTGCACGAACTTGTCTTTAATGTTCTGAAAATCATCTCTAGTCACAGCTAATTGCTTTCCATTTTGCCTAGCCGTCCAAGCTTCACCCATGCTCTGCAATCACAGCCCGCAGAGCTCAGGGAAGAGGAAGAGCTGCTGCCCCGTCCCGCTGAGGGACCCCAAGCAGCGGCACGCTCAGCAGTAAGTGCTTAACTCAATGCAAAGCTGATTTTCTGTCAGACTAGGCAATATTGGTCACGTTGTTTTCCACCTTAACTGTGTCCCTCCAACAGAGCTGTGAAAATTATTGGCCCTATGCTGAGGTTTCACCCCGCCAAAGGCCGAGCAAACTTTGAGCAGCCACGCATGCCACAGATTAACCTGCCCAAAGGGCATGAGAAGCTCGGCCGGTATTTAAAACATTTCCTTGACAGTGTAAGAGCCTGGAAGCAAACAAACTAGCAGAAGAGCAAGAACACAGCCCTTGTAGGCATCCATCACACTCTCCCAGCACAAATTCACACACCATGGGCCTCGGAGTTTTCAACACTTGAAGTAAGGCTTATTTCAAAATCAGTAACATTTTTATACACTGGAGAAAAAGAAAAAAAAACAAAACTTCAAATCCAGACTGCAAATCATAATTCACAAAAGAGAGATGGTTACTATCTTGTAAGCGTCCACCCCTCTTCCAGGAGCAGAGCTAACCTCCTAATCTCCTTTTGTGTAAACACGAGTACTTCCCTGTGAATACAGCAAAACATGCTCAACATTATTAACAGCAAGGCCACAGAATTGTAACCAGGGCATTCCCTTCAGTAATGTTAAGGTAAGTGCCTCCAGAGCAAAATTAAATGTTGTAACATCAGCTAAAGCAGTGTCATAAGGCAGATAAAACCCTGTTTAAAAAAAAAAAAAAAAAAAGTAGTATTACAGAAAAATGGGATAAGCAGGGCTCTTCTGGGAGTTACAGAAAGCTTCTGAGATGGCAGATTTTGAGAGCAAAGCGGTCTGGGTGCTGGCTCTGCTCAGATAACCACAGCACCAGCAGTGCTAAAATTAGTAACTTCCTTAGAAGTTACTTGCCAGCATTTATTCCAAGGAAACAATAGTGAAACTTGTTTTAAAGTTGTCTGCAGAACTTCGGAAGCCCCTATCATACCCCACTTTGGGGTTTCTGACTTTTAGAAAACAGGTTTTGGAAGTGACCAAAACCACTGAGCAGTGTTGCACAACGCTCACAGCAAGGCCTGGCTGCGCTGGGATTTTCCTCCCTTTTAGCAAAACCTGCTGCTAGCTATGTGCATGCACATGTACCTATGGGTAGTGTATCTTTCAGTAGCCAACTTGCTGCTGCTGCTACTCAAAATGCTCCCAACAGTTTCAGATTGTCAGAGGAACAGGAACAGTTCAGCCACAATGAGTCAACAGCTTCATAAAAATTTGTGTCCTTCTTTGAAGTGGAGGCAAAAAATGAGTGCAAGTGTTGCACCAGTTAGGCATGTTAAAAAAAAATAAAGTTGACACTTACTGTACTGCTTTAAGTAATGACTCCTTGCAAATCATAATCCAAGAAAAAGTTATGCAGGAACTTGTGGTATAGCACCTGAACCTCAGCCCAGCACATCTACCCCTCAATAGATAAATGTTTTTGGTTGTTGTGTTTTTTCCCTGAAGGCTGAGCACTACTGAACTTTGCTGCCCACCTATCTCACTTTTTTCAGCCCACTCAACAACATTTATAAACTAAAATTGTCCCTGTGAGTGATTAAAGTTGATGAGAAATTACAGAATGGTCTGTACTCTTCTCAGAGGACAAGCCCGCCCCATCTCCAGTGATGTCTCCCACAAGCCATATTTTTAGATACCCAAGCACCACTCAAAGACGAGAGGAATAAAACATTCACCAAGGATTACTGTTGGTTTATGTATCCTTTCTCCCCTTACTTGTCCTTTTCTGCTACGCCCCTTCAGCTGCAGCAGCTGTCAGTGCCTTGCAGGCTGGTTTCCTCCTCGGAGGAAAAAGGAGAGCGGGTGATGGCAGGGCCAAATTCCTCCTGTATCCTGTTTACATGCAGCACCCAAGTCTCAAACACAGATGCTGAGGCACAGCAGCCCCATGGTGACGTCCTGCAGGAGCTCCAGCCAAGCCAACCTGCACCTGATGGGCACAGGGCCAACATCTTCACCAAGAGGCAGGCTCTGCGCAGGCACCTCCCCACCTCTTCTCAAGCAGGGCATTGCCAACAGCAGCACAAAAATTCACCTACCCACCAGGACAGAGCTCGCAGCACACTTCGAGGCTGTCCCTCTGCCAATTTTAACTTTGATGGGGCCCAGGCAGCACCATGGAGGAGACTAAAAGCAGCCAGGCTTCTGCAGGTCCTGCAGCTGCTTGAGGAGCAGAGCAGCAGCCAAAGGCTTCCCCACAGATTTCCGTAAGCTCCAAGCAGCTGCTGGCTGCACGTGGATCTGAAGAAAGCACAGTCAGAACAATACAAACCAATGAATGGCTCTGACTACACAGTTTGAAAAAACAGCAGGAACCATTTTTACTGAACTTGGTCTGTAACAGCTTGCTTATTCCTCATACACCACTGCAATGTGCTTGTCTACAAGGTATTAATTCCCCTTTTCGTTAAAAGGAGGCGGGGAGGAGGAAGAGAAGATAAAGGGGGGAGGAAAAAGCTATGTCAGCAGTGGAAACTGTGCAAATTATCTTCTGTGACTGCAGAGATCTTGCCGGCACACCCAGCAAGGCAAGGCAGAGGCCTTCATCCAGCTCGCAGCAACACATTAGTTCCGCTTTTCCAAATGATTTTGGAAGAAATAAAAAGCTGGCCTGGCCATGCAGCTCACCACCAAGACCATGCAGTCAGCTGTGAAGTAGCCTCAAGAGTTCCTGTTCATCAGCTCATCTGTTTCCACTGTGTTTGACTGTGAGTTAGAAACCAACCAACAAGTGCAAAGAAGAAATGTCCAACAACGTGACAACATTGACTGTAAACCCTGTGAACCGAACTGCTGGCTGCAAGCATGAAAACATGCTAGCAACACACATCTTTGTTAAATGTAAGAACTTCTCCGCATGTTCCTGTAAACCTTTAGGAGTGCACATGAACTGGAAGAGAAGCACTAAAGAGGACCCAAAATGAGCCCAAGCCCTACAAGCCCAAGTTATCGACAAGGCAGTTGCATTTGCACCTAAATTTTCTCCTGGCACTAAGTTCTCCAGGGGAACATGACAAATCTAGCTTACAACATTTTCTGCTGTTGTTGTTTTGTTCTTTTAAGGCATACTAATTAGACTTTCAATTTTTTTTCTGCGTTAAAGGACACGGATCAATTATACACAACTGAAACAATACTGTAACACTTCTGCAGGGTAGCAATG